GACAAGAAATAAGGAATGGAAGCTTATCAAAGAGAGATTAAATCTAGAATTAAGGAGAAATTTCCTAACAGTGAGAACAATTAATCAGTTAAACTGTTTACCTCCAGACATTTTAGGTGCTGTATCATTGGAGTTTTTAAAGAAATGATTGGATAGCCATTTGTCCGGAATGGTATAGTGTCTCCTGCTTAAGCAGAGAGTTGGACTAGAAGACTTTCAAGGCCCCTTCCAACTCTGTTATTCTGTACCTAATCCTGAAAATCGATTTTATATAATAAAATACTGCATCCAGTTTTGGTCACCACGATGCAAAAAAGATGTTGAGACTCTAGAAAGAGTGCACAGAAGAGCAACAAAGATGATTAGGGGACTGGAGGCTGAAACATATAAGGAACAGTTGCTGGAATTGGGTATGTCTAGTTTAACAAAGAGAAGGACGAGGGCGGACATGATAGCAGTCTTCCAATATCTCAGGGGCTGCCCCAAAGAAGAGGGAGTCAAGCTATTCTCCAAAGCACCCGAAGGCAGGACAAGAAGCAACGAAAGATGGAAACTAATCAAGGAGAGAAGCAACCTAGAACTAAGGAGAAACTTCCTGACAGTAAGAACAATTAACCAGTGGAACAACCTGCCTCCAGAAGCCGTGAATGCTCCAACACTGGACATTTTTAAGAAGAGACTGGACAGCCATTTGTCCGAAATGGTATAGGGTTTCCTGCCTGAGCAGGGGGTTGGACTAGATGACCTCCAAGGTCCCTTCCAACATTACTACTACTACTACTACTACTACTACTACTACTACTACTACTATTATTATTATTATTATTATTATTATTATTATTATTATTATTATTCTCAACAATGGATCTGGAAAAGGAGATTTATGACCTGGATTCAAGATTCCAACAATCAGCACCCCCTCCATGGTCATGTGACCAAACTTTGGTTGGTCAACAACATAGCTGCATTTATGGCTTCTTGGAGCATCCTGTGGTCACGTGGCCCCATTTTACGATAGGCAGAAACCACACCCATAGCGAACCACTGGTTCAGTTAATGAGCACCACACAAAGGGTTGTAAAAGACCTTGCGCAGCACTGACAGCAGCCATCTTTGTGATGCCAAGAGCCGAGGTGGTGCAGCAGTTAGAGTGCAGTACTGCAGGCCACTTTAGCTGACTGTGTTCAGCAGGTCAGCGGTTCAAATCTCACCGGCTCAAGGTTGACTCAGCCTTCCATCCTTCCGAGGTAGGTAAAATGAGGACCCAGATTGTTGGGGGCAAAGTATATATATATATATATACATTGCTTACTCGTGTACACCGCTTAGAGAGTGCTTGCACTTAAAGCGGTATATAAGTCTCATAAATAAATAAATAAACCCATTTTACAACTGTTAATGGCATATGATTGTAATGGGCAGGCTTCATTACGGACATATGTTGAGGACTATCTGTACTCACAAAGCTAATCATACTTGCTTAACGACCATTGTCTAAATTATACCTTCATCAGATTGTAACTTGTTGAATGCAGCGTAATTCATAATAATGCAATATTCAGCTGCTGTAAACTCTCCCAGAACAGGGAGTCCTCAACTTACAACAGTTCATTTAGTGATCGTTCGAAGTTACACCAGCACTGGAAAAAGTGACTTACGACCATTTTTTACATTTACAACCATTGCAGCATATCCATGGTCACATGATCAAAATTCAGATTCTTGGCAACTGATTCATATTTAGGATGGTTGCAGTATCCAAGGATCATGTGATCACTTTTTGTGACCTTCTGACAAGCAAAGTCAATGGAGAGGCTAAATTCACTTAACAGCTGTGTTACCAACTTAACAACTGCAGTGATTTGCTTAACAACAGTGGCAAGAGAGGTTGTAAAATGGAGAAAAACTCACATAATCAATATCTCACTTAGCAATGGTAATTTTGAGCTAAATTACGGTCATAAGTCGAGAACTACCTGTACAATTTTTTTTCTAGATCTAGGGTTTCTCCAACAAATGGACAAAGGAGATAACAGTTGCAAAACTCTTGTGAATTACTGAATTTAAATTCTCCTACCTGTAGACCAGGGGTTGGCAACCTTGTCTATTTTATGACTTGTGGACTTCAACTCCCAGAATTCCTGAGGCAGCCATGCTGAGGGGAAAGGGAGAGGTTTCCAAGCTGAGCCATGCTGGCTCAGGAATTCTGGGAGTTGAAGTTCATGAGTCATAAAAGAGCCAAGGTTGCCTACTCCTGCTGTAGACCAAGGACCTACAAAGCTGGCAACTTTAAGACTCGAAGACTTCAACTCCCAGAATTCCTCAGCCAGCCAGTCTTAAAATTGCCAAGTTTAGAGACAGCAACTGGGAGATGGGCCTTTTCTTCCAGCTTCACATACCTCCACTCTGTGGTTTGCTTATGAACGTGTTGTTGGGAAAATCATGTGTTGTTTGATGATGGGAAAGAGTCTCTTACATTGTTAGCCTTCTGATGGGATAGGTTGTCCTCAGTTTATAGACCCGTGGTGGCGAATCTATGGCACGGGTGCCAGAGGCGGCACTCAGAGCCCTCTCTATAGGCACACGCGCCATCGCCCCAGTCCTAGGCCTTCAGCTGGGTTTTATAAAACCTTTTCGCTTTAGGCCTCCACCGCCGTGTGCAAAAAAAAAAAAAGGTTCAATCAGTCAATTTCAACTTCTCGCGGGAAAAAAAAAACTTGCAAAGTTGGAATTGATTGAACTTTGTAGTCCCACCCAGTCTGCCGTTACCACTGCAGCCACGCCCACCCAATTGGCCACACCCACCCAGCACTCGACGATGCATGTGGGTTTTGGGTTGCAGTTTGAGCACTCGGTCTCTAAAAGGTTCGCCATCACTGTTATAGACCATCCATTTCTGAGGCACGTCTTTTCTGACTCTGAAAGAAAGAAGCGTCTTGTCATTTCATAAAGCCAAATAGACAAACAAGTCACTTGCTTTTATGCTTAATCTCTCTCTATATATAGATATTTTTACCTTTCAACCACACTAATTAGGCACTCACTGACTATCGTGTTGTCAACACCTTCACGAATCTCGGCAGACTGTACTTGCTGACTAATTTGGTCTCTGAGCTTCATTGCCAAATAGATTTGTCCCATATGTTGAACTAATTTCTTTACATTGGCACAGCGGCTATACATTTACCTTGGTCTGCATAAAAAACTGAATTTCACCTCTAGAATTTGCTATTTTGTACAAATGACCACTTAGGCATACAAGATGTCAGGATTCAACTACCTCTCCACTCTAGCTCATTTGTGTCACGTTCTTAGAAGTACTTAATTAAAAAGGAATTAAACAAAGGGACGATAAGGACAAGCCGTGAAATCCTTCGCGCACTAATTGCTTTAATACAGTTGCATGTTGCCAATGAATGCCTTCCACAAATTAATGGACATTATTGAGCTGAGGATAGGTTCAGCATGAGACCTGACGAGCGAGAAGAGAAGCAAAGGAGAGAAGCAACCTAGAACTAAGGAGAAACTTCTTGACATTAGAACAATTAACCAGTGGAACAACCTGCCTCCAGAAGTGGTGAATGCTCCAACACTGGAAGTTTTTAAGAAGAGACTGGACAGCCATTTGTCCAAAATGGTATAGGGTTTCCTGTCTGAGCAGGGGGTTGGACTAGATGACATCCAAGGTCCCTTCCAACTTTACTACTACTATACTACTACTACTACTACTACTATTATTATTATTATTATTATTATTATTATTATTAAGGACCATTTAGGGAGGAGTTCAGGCAGAAGATCAAAAATGATGGGATGATCCTGTGCATCACACTGAGAATCTTTTGGTTTCCCCAATCTTTTGTACTTATAGTAGTGAATTGTCTTCTGTGTTTGTTTGTTTGTTTGTTTATGAAAATTTCTATGGCTGCCCAACTCCCTCTCAGTGACTCCCGGCGGCTTACAAGATAAAAAAAATCCAATAGCAAAAAAAATCCAATTAAAAGCAATAACCTGGAACCTTCTGGCAACAACAATCACTTAAGCCAGTGTTTCTCAGCCTTGACAATTTTAAGGCATGTGGACTTCAACTCCCAGAATTCCACAGCCAGCATTGCTGGCTGTGGAATTGTGGAAGTTGAAGTCCACATGCCTTAAAATTGTCAAGGTTGAGAAACACTGACTTAAGCCATTTGACGGGCTCCTTAAGGAGCCCAGTGGCTGTGATGGTTAAGATGCTGGTTTGGAGGTTAGCAAGCCTGTGTTCAAGATCCAAGTGCTGCCGTGGGGCAGGGTGAGCTCCTGTCCTTTGCTCCAGCTCCTGCCGGGGACATGAAAGGTGCCCTCAACTGGGCATCCCGTGGGCACCGGTTAACCCTTTCAACACAGAAGCTCCTCGATGCTTCTGACAAGGGTGTGATGTAGTGGGCTCTATCCCACTCCGGTGTCCCCAGGCCCGTTGGCCAAACCAGGTCTCCAGAGCTTGTGAAAGGGGTGTCAAACTGGGAGCCAATCTTATTTCCAAAGGGATGATTATTTCCACAGGGAAGGAGCCATCACAGAGAGGGCCCTTCTTAATCCCACTAGATCAGTGTTTCCCAAACTTGACAATTTTAAGGCATGTGGACTTCAACTCCCAGAATTCCACAGCCAGCATTGCTGGCTGTGGAATTCTGGGAGTTGAAGTCCACATGCCTTAAAATTGTCAAGTTTGGGAAACACTGCACTAGATCAAGGGGTGGGCAGCTAGGGCATCTTTATGACCTGTGGACTTCAGCTCAAGGAATGCTGGGAGTTGAAGTCCACAGGCAGCAAAGTTGCCAGAGTTGCCCACCTCTTTGCTAGACGGACCTTCTTAGGAGAGGGGACTCCAGCCTCCCTTTTGCAAGTGTTTTCTTTTTCAACAAAGCAAGGGTGAAGCTCACAATCCTGTGGATGGTAAATATGAATGAAAACTACTCATCGTTCTCTTTATGTTCTTTTTTTTTATATTTGCCCTTTAGGTAATGATTCTGATGTTGACCTTGACAGGAGGGAAGATGAGCGAGAAAAACCATCCAAGAGGCAGCGGGTACAAAGGACTGAGAAAAGTCTTTCCTCAAAAGAAACAGACCAGGGCTCAGGAGCTAAGAATCCTATTATAAGTGTGGTTTTGACAGCCCATGAAGCAATTCCAGGTAACCATAACTATTTCTGTCGGGGGAGGGGGGATTTTGCCTCTTTCTTTCTTTCTTTCTTTCTTTCTTTCTTTCTTTCTTTCTTTCTTTCTTTCTTTCTTTCTTTCTTTCCTTTTTTCTTTCTTTTTCTTTCTTTCTCTTTCTTTCTTTCTTTCTTTCTTTCTTTCTTTCTTTCTTTCTTTTTTCTTTCTTTCTTTCCAACTCTGTTATTCTGTTATTCTTAGTTGACAAAATTCTGAACACCAAATGATCAGAGCATGGAAGAAAAGTAGATTATGAAGAAAATGTGGGCTTTATGAACTTATTGAACAAAGGAGATGCAGAGGAATAGAATCAGAGGGATAGAATCAAGATCATGTAAAGTATTAATACCACTTTACAATGCCTTGGTAAGGCCACACTTGGAATACTACACCCAGTTTTGGTCACCACGATGTAAAAAAGATGCTGAGACTCTAGAAAGAGTACAGAGAAGAGCAACAAAGATGATTAGGGGACTGGAGGCTAAAACATATAAGGAACGGTTGCTGGAATTGGGTATGTCTAGTTTGATGATGAGAAGGATGAGGGGGGATATGATAGCAGTGTTCCAATATCTCAGGGGCTGCCACAAAGAAGAGGGAGTCAAGCTATTCTCCGAAGCACCTGAAGGCAGGACAAGAAGCAACGGGTGGAAACTAATCAAGGAGAGAAGCAACCTAGAACTAAGGAGAAACTTCCTGACAGAACCAATGGAACAACCTGCCTCCAGAAGCGGTGAATGCTCCAACACTGGAAGTTTTTAAGAAAAGACTGGACAGGCATTTGTCCGAAATGGTGTAGGGTTTCCTACTTGAGCAGGGGGTTGGACTCAATGACCTCCAAGGTCCCTTCCAACTTTATTATTATTATTATTATTATAATCCAAAAAGAGAATTTGGAGACAGGTCAAAATTTGATGTCGTTCCATTTACAGTAGATCTTTGGTGTTTTTACAATTAATTCAAGGCAGCGAACATATTCAACATGTTTTCCTTCTCCTATTTTATCCACAACAACAACCCCTGTGAGGTGAGTTGGGCTGAGAGAGAGTAAGTGGCCCAAAGTTGCCCAATGTCTTTCATGGCTAATGTGGGATTAGAACTGACAGTCTTCCAGTTTCTAGCCTGATGCTAGATGACACCTTTCTTTCATCTTTCCATAAAGATGGTATAATTAGGCCCTCGCGTTTTATGCAATATGGATGTAATAGAATCTGCATTCCTACTGTTGCGTTTCAGTACGCAACATACCGCTTTTGACCCAAGAGCTGAAAGATTTTGCCAAATCATGGAAAAAACGGGGGTTCGCTTCTTGTCTGCTCATTAGACTTGCAAAGTGGAAAAAAAATTGAAATTATGGATGGCAAACCTAGTTGCCTATAAATCATGAAGAATTCTAGATGGCTGAGCCTTGGAGCTTAACTGTGAGCTGTAAAATAATGGTTTGAGGACCCGAAAGGGTTTTTGTGACCCACATAAGCTTTGAACTTCTACTAATGGGCTCTTGTGCATCCAAGTTAATTGCGCAGAGCATGGGAATTACATGGGTGACCTGGTCTAGGAATGGTCTTAAACCCGTAGCCAGAATTAAAAGGACAGCGTCTCCTGCTACGGAAAATCCTTTCTTTCTGTCTTGTGCAAAATTTGGCCTTTTGACTGCACAAAATAACGTTATTCCAGTACTTGGAATACTCTGGATTTGAATGATAGATATGGATTTTTTTTTAATCAACTGTTACCGGGAGTCCTCGACTTACAACAGTTCGTTTAGTGACCGTTCAAAGTTACAAAGGCACTGAAAAAAGTGGCTTATGACCAGTTTTCACACTTAACGACCGTTGCAGCATCTCCACGGTCACGTGATCAAAATTCAGATGCTTGGCAACTGACACATATTTATAACGGGTCATATGATCACCTTTTGCGACCTTCAAACAAGGAAAGTCACCTCACAACTTTGTTACTAACTTAACAACTGCAGCGATTCACTTAACAGCTGTAGCAAAAATGTCATAAAATGGGGCAAAACTCATTTAACAAATGTTTCACTTAGCAACAGAAGTTTCAGGCTCAGTTGTGGACATACGTTGAGGATTATCTATGTAGACATGGAGTTCTTTTTAATCAACTCTTCTTCCATGGATGCAGTAGAAAGGTTGGTAAATATCATTTCACGTGAATCTAGCTTCTCCATTGACTTTGTTTCATAGATGGTCACAAAATAGGATCATATGATCCCAGGACACTACAACCGTCATAAGTACATGCTAGTTGCCAAGCATCTGAATTTTGATCATGTGACCATGGGGATGCTGCAATGGTCATAAGTGTGAAAAACAACCATAGGACACTTTTTCTAATGCTGTTGTAATCTCAGTCATTAAACAAGCTGTGGTAAACTCCACTGATTTAAGAAATCTGTGCTTTTCAAATCTTTTATTTTTAGAGTGTTAAACAAAAGAAAGAAAGGACCATTCTCCATATTTTGGCCATGCTCTATTGTTAACGCCAAAAAAATATGTGTTATTTCTCTTAATAAGTATGAGTAAAACTAATTGATAGACAATAAAGAAAGTAAAAAATGAGATGGGTTACAGAACGGAAAAAAAAAACACTCATTATTGTTTATCAAACAGCTTCCTATTCTGTTCTAAATGTCAGCTTTCAGCTTTATCTTTTTTTTCCAGGTAGTCTCTTTTTCTCATGTTGTCTTAACTGTTTGCTACTCATTTCTCTTTCCTCTGTTTTTTCACTGTGGCCTTTGTAGATAAGCTCTCACGTTGAAATTAAAATATGAAGCCATATTGTTCACGTTTCAAGATCGTTAATCTACTTCCACACAGAAGTGTTGTTATTCTTCAAAAAAAAAAGTTGTTCATCAATTAAGAAAAATTGTTGGAACTCAGCTAAAACTCAGCAAGGGGGTATTTCAGAATTCGGGTGATAATATCCAGATGGGACACTAGCAAAAAAAGGAATTGGTGAACGAATGGATGAGAAGAAGCCATGTTTAAGTTTGCCATTTCTTACCAGCAGATGTCCTCAAGATTGTCTCTTCCTTCTATCTAGGTTAGATTTGCTTCTAGATTCAGAGTAGGACTTTTTGTAGGGGAGTGTTAGGGATCAAGCCTCAGTTTATATATGGAGAAGTTGGCTGAGCCAGTAGAGAAGTGAAGCTGGCAATTAGTCTGGAATCTTTACATAGGCACAAGAGGACAAGGTCAGAAACGTCCTGATTGTTAGAACAATTAACCGGTGGAACAACTTGCCTCCAGAAGCAACACTGGACGTTTTTAAGAAGAGACTGGACAGCCATTTGTCTGAAGTGGTATAGGGTTTCCTGCCTGAGCAGAGGGTTGGACTAGATGACATCCAAGGTCTCTTCCATCTTCTTCTTCTTCTCCTCCTCCTCCTCCTCCTCCTCCCCCTCCTCCTCCTCCTCCTTCTTCTTCTTCTTCATCTTGTTGTTGTTGTTGTTGTTATTATTATTATCATTATCATTATTATTCCTCTCCTGGAATGCTTATCTAGTCTTGCCCAGGTACAAACTGTCAGGCATTGAGCAATAAAGTAGATAATTTGAACTCTTCACATACTGTATGGGACTGGTTTTTGTGCCTGAAAGGAATTAGCTAAAGAGTGTGTTTGAGGAGACTCATCTGTCGTCTTGAAAGGAAGAAAAAAAAAATGTCACTTAACCTATTGCTCAAAGTGATGTCCAGTTACAAAATAGATGGCTTTTTTTTGTAACTGGTTTTTGATGGCAAAACATTTTCAAATTTCCTCCTTATGGCTCTGACTTGATTGCTGGGAATCTTGGACTGTAATTGAATTTGACACTCTTGAGATTTGTGCGTTCAGATTCTTTTTCTAAAGTCAGCTTTGAGTTTTAGTATGCTTTGTGGTAAGATATACTACTGCAGTAAATAGCTTGAGTTTATTATCAGAAGCTGTTGTGTAGCTTGGCAGCTGAGAATGCTACAAGGGTAACATTCAAAAATTGTTTGGGATGAATAGAGAGGCCACAGTAGTGGTCTAGAGCAGAGGTCCCCAACCTTTTGAGCACCAGGGACCGGTTCCATGGAGAGAGGTTTTTCTGCAGACCGGAGGGGGCGTGGTTTCATGTACTGCCTGGGTGGGGCTTTACTTGTTTGCGTGGACTAGTTTCGGGCATGCCTTGGCCCGGTGCCGGTCCATGGACCAGGGGTTGGGGACCCCTGGTTTACAGGATGGCCTTGAAGGGCAGAAGGAAGCTCCAATACCAAGACAACAATCAGATAAACGAGGCTTGAGGCCAGACCAATAAAATGGCTTGTGAAAATGCCTTATGATCAAAATTCAGATGTTGTGACCATGGGGATGCTGCAACGGTCACAATTGTGAGAACTATTCATAAGCACTGCTGTGATTTCAAATGATCACTAAACAAATCGTTTTAAATTGAGGACTACCCTGCTTTCTGCTTATCCTGTATATAGTATTTTGGAGGTTTTTTTAGGTGAATTGCATTTCTGTTTTTGCTGCAGGTGCCACAAAGATAGTTCCTGTGGAAGCAGCTTCTCCCAAAGATGAGCAGCCCATCAACTCAGAAACCTCTGTACCAGACACATCTCAGCGAAGAGGTTATCAGGAATATGCCATTCAGCAAACTCCTTATGAGCAGCCAATGAAATCAAGCAGGTAATCTCCATTTTACAAATCTAAGCACAGGGTAGCCTTTTGGGCAGAAGCTTAAATTACTGAGAAGGAGCGTTTTTAGAAAGACGCTGGGAGACCCTGTGTTGATGCTAAATAGAGTATAGGCATCCTTTTAAAATTCCAGGAATTTTAATTCATGCTAAGGATGTTTCATCACTTAGGGAAAGCTACAGCTTTCCTGATAGAAGCTAGGTAGCAGTTAGCATGTGAGAAAGCTGTTATTTGGAACATTGCATTGCTGTTTTCCCCTCTTTAACTAATGGCGTATATAAAATGGTACGCTTGTCAGGAGACCCAGTTTTAAGAAACCATTAGCGTGATTGAGGGGAGCCATATGAGGAAGGGGTGGAATGTAGTCTGGAGTCCCAGGAAGGAGGGGCTGCTTCCTAAAGAGCAAAGAGGCAGCGGCAGTTGGAATGTCTGGTAAGCAGGAAGAGGACTAAGACGGCCTTTCCCTAGCGATTCACAGAGTATAGTGATAGTCCCTTTATTCCGGCAAGATTCCGTCTGTAGGGAAACAGCAATAAAGAAACTACTCAGAAGTAACACCCCCCCCCCTGTAGTTCTTGATTTCCTGGGACCTGACATCAATCTTTTTTTTTAAAGTTTTTTATTTGTAATACAATTAAAACAGAAATGGACAAGCGTAACATTCCAGAGTAAGTATTCCAAATAGTTTGTTTCTCGTGGTACAAAAAGATAATGCACCATTCTTAACCTCTATATAAGCCTCATCCTTCTGTGTAATACAATTAAATATACAATTATATGTACAGATGCTAACGTCATTAGCATTGTATTTAATATGATTTGAGTTGAACCTGACAATAGATATAGGCCCCTAGTTTCTTTCCTGTTTTTCAGCCCAAGCCTCCATCACTGCTAGAAAGCATAATTCATAAGCCTCATCCTTCTGTGTAATACAATTAAATATACAATTATATGTACATTTCAATCCTATCATTAACTTGAGATCCGAGCAGTTCTTCTTAATTCATACCAACGGTAAAATTTGTCCCAGATTTCGAAGTATTCGAGTTCTGGGACCGGACATCAATCTTGTCAAAGTAAAGCAAATATCTGCATAACTGTAGATCTATTCCAAACTGCTAGGCAGTGACCACCTTAGCCATCCTTCTGCCTGCTAGGCATTACAAGCTCCGCTGCCTCTTTGCCCTCCTGAGAATCCAGACTATTTGCCCTCTGGGAAGGAGCCCTTCCCTCCTGAGAATCCAGACTACTTTCCACTACAGATGATCTCTGATCATGTAGTCTGCAGGAAGAAGGCAATGAGAAAGCCAAAGGAAAGAAGAAATGCAAAACTGGGTAAAATGTAGTGGGTAAGTCAGCCACAACCAGAGAGCATCAAAATGCCAGTTGGGTAGCTAGAACACTTTTACTTCTCCAAGGAATGATCCTAGGAGCTCTCAATTAGAAGTCTGGCTGAGGATTTAATTAGAATATCACTGTGTATATTCTATCCTTGAATCCACTCCATATTGCCTGAAAACTTATTTCCGTTTTAGCCAGTAGGGAGATTTATTGAAGAAAATATAACCTTGAGTGCTTCGTTGGTGATGAATTGTATTTGAGAAACTTTACTATAAAACACACTCTGAAATTGCCTGTCCATAATGCTAAAGGATGATATTGATGCTAACGTCATTAGCATTGTATTTAATATGATTTGAGTTCAACCTGACAATAGGTATAGGCCCCTAATTTCTTTCCTGTTTTTCAGCCCAAGCCTCCATCACTGCTGGAAAGCATAATTCAGAGTAGGAGACATTGTTTGTAGCTCAAGGTTGAACTGTGGGATCCTTGGCACTCTCTGAGCTTGGTTGTTTTCTTTCAGGTACTTCATTACCAGCTAGGTGACATTCTCAGTGCTAGAAAAGAGTGGAGTTTAAATACAATTCCTTGATTTGTCAATATTGGTGGAAGTGTTCTTGATAATTCCTGGATTAGGCTGTTGTTTACTGTTTGTGTAAGGACCCACCCCACTTTGCATCTTAAGAAGACAGAACTCTTGGAATAATTCTTCCAACAGGAATCCTTTATTAAGAAGAAGTGGTTGCAGGCATGCTAGACAGGACTTGGGGTCCAAGCCCTCCCATTCAAGGTTTTAAGGGGTTCCCCAGTAGTCCCACCCAATCAACCCCCCTTCCAGTGATAGTTTCAGGCATCACAATTCCACCCCTTTGATGCTTTCTTCCGTCTGGATGGAGACTTCAGATAACTACATGAAAGGCAAATACCCTTCTTTGTTATGGTGATGTTCTTTGGTATGCTAACGCTTTGAGGTTACAATAAACACACATTCAGCATTCAGCTCCCTAGAAGTCTACTGAAGGAAGTGAGGGCCATAAAGCCCCTTTGTTCTCCCCCTTCTCTCCCTCTTATGGCAGAATCCAGAGAAGGCAGAATTGGGAGTTTCTATATTTGATAATTAAAGATGAAATATGATTGGATTCTGACAGTTTGATTGCTTTTCTGGGTTGGCAGTTTCTTGATTGGGGTATTGTTTAGACGTCGGTCAAGCTGGAACGTGCTACATTCCACCAGCTGCTGCTTAAACTGTAAGTTTTGGGAGAATCCACCAGGAAAGTAGCAAGGCCCTGATTGGATCTCCATTATATATATAGGGTATTATACTCTATTTAAACCCCATTCCAACTCTGATCGGGTTGCTGGAACGTGCTACATTCCACCAGCTGCTGCTTAAACTGTAAGTTTTGGGAGAATCCACCAGGAAAGTAGCAAGGCCCTGATTGGATCTCCATTATATTTATAGGGTATTATACTCTATTTAAACCCCATTCCAACTCTGATCGGGTTGCTGGAACGTGCTACATTCCACCAGCTGCTGCTTAAACTGTAAGTTTTGGGAGAATCCACCAGGAAAGTAGCAAGGCCCTGATTGGATCTCCATTATATATATAGGGTATTATACTCTATTTAAACCCCATTCCAACTCTGATCGGGTTGCTGGAACGTGCTACATTCCACCAGCTGCTGCTTAAACTGTAAGTTTTGGGAGAATCCACCAGGAAAGTAGCAAGGCCCTGATTGGATCTCCATTATATTTATAGGGTATTATACTCTATTTAAACCCCATTCCAACTCTGATCGGGTTGCTGGAACGTGCTACATTCCACCAGCTGCTGCTTAAACTGTAAGTTTTGGGAGAATCCACCAGGAAAGTAGCAAGGCCCTGATTGGATCTCCATTATATTTATAGGGTATTATACTCTATTTAAACCCCATTCCAACTCTGATCGGGTTGCTGGAACGTGCTACATTCCACCAGCTGCTGCTTAAACTGTAAGTTTTGGGAGAATCCACCAGGAAAGTAGCAAGGCCCTGATTGGATCTCCATTATATATATAGGGTATTATACTCTATTTAAACCCCATTCCAACTCTGATCGGGTTGCTGGAACGTGCTACATTCCACCAGCTGCTGCTTAAACTGTAAGTTTTGGGAGAATCCACCAGGAAAGTAGCAAGGCCCTGATTGGATCTCCATTATATATATAGATCGCTGGTTAAACCCCATTCCATATATATAGGGTATTATACTCTGATCGGGTGCTGGAACGTGCTACATTCCACCAGCTGCTGCTTAAACTGTAAGTTTTGGGAGAATCCACCAGGAAAGTAGCAAGGCCCTGATTGGATCTCCATTATATATATATAGGGTATTATACTCTATTTAAACCCCATTCCAACTCTGATCGGGTTGCTGGAACGTGCTACATTCCACCAGCTGCTGCTTAAACTGTAAGTTTTGGGAGAATCCACCAGGAAAGTAGCAAGGCCCTGAGGATCAAGGCTAACACCAGCTGCTGCTTAAACTGTAAGTTTTGGGAGAATCCACCAGGAAAGTAGCAAGGCCCTGATTGGATCTCCATTATATTTATAGGGTATTATACTCTATTTAAACCCCATTCCAACTCTGATCGGGTTGCTGGAACGTGCTACATTCCACCAGCTGCTGCTTAAACTGTAAGTTTTGGGAGAATCCACCAGGAAAGTAGCAAGGCCCTGATTGGATCTCCATTATATTTATAGGGTATTATACTCTATTTAAACCCCATTCCAACTCTGATCGGGTTGCTGGAACGTGCTACATTCCACCAGCTGCTGCTTAAACTGTAAGTTTTGGGAGAATCCACCAGGAAAGTAGCAAGGCCCTGATTGGATCTCCATTATATATATAGGGTATTATACTCTATTTAAACCCCATTCCAACTCTGATCGGGTTGCTGGAACGTGCTACATTCCACCAGCTGCTGCTTAAACTCGATCGGTTGCTGGAACGTGCTACATTCCACCAGCTGCTGCTTAAACTGTAAGTTTTGGGAGAATCCACCAGGAAAGTAGCAAGGCCCTGATTGGATCTCCATTATATTTATAGGGTATTATACTCTATTTAAACCCCATTCCAACTCTGATCGGGTTGCTGGAACGTGCTACATTCCACCAGCTGCTGCTTAAACTGTAAGTTTTGGGAGAATCCACCAGGAAAGTAGCAAGGCCCTGATTGGATCTCCATTATATTTATAGGGTATTATACTCTATTTAAACCCCATTCCAACTCTGATCGGGTTGCTGGAACGTGCTACATTCCACCAGCTGCTGCTTAAACTGTAAGTTTTGGGAGAATCCACCAGGAAAGTAGCGGCCCGCGCGCCTAACGGCGCGCGAATTATATAACTATATAACTAAAAATCACAAACAGTAGCAGTACATTCAGGGCAAGTGTGTCTGACATCCCCTATATCTAAGATGTCCGGCTTAGTTCAGTGCAACACCTGCTTTGCAGCCGTCCTTCGCAGTACCCTTTTCAAACTTGGAAACTGTCCTATCTGTAAACAAATCACTAGCCTACAAGGACAGATCATTTACCTAGGGTCTGTAATCCGTGCTCTTCGGGCAGAAATTAGGTGTCCAGTTCAGCCCCTCTACTCTAGTAAGCCTCCCTGCTATCAGCCCCCTTTACCACAAAGATCCTGCAGGAAAAGGGCAGTGTGGACAACCGTGGGATCTGGCAGGGTGAGAGCTGTGAACCATAAACACAAAGCTTTCGCTGTGTCCCTGCACAACAGCTACAGTGCTCTTGCTGACCTTAATAGGGACATTAAGGAGACTGGTAAAGGTATTTGTGAAGATAACTCAAATAAGCAGGGGATTGTGGTCCGAGATGAAGAACTAGATTTTGATAGGGAGAAGTGTGAATCAGGTATTGCACATCAGTCATGCAAGAATAGAAAGGCTCCCAAAAAGAGAAGCTACCTTCTGGTAGGTGATTCAATTATAAGGGATGTAAATTTAGGAAAGGACACAGAGGCTTTGAAAGAGGTCAGGTGTCTTCCAGGTGCTACTGCCAGTAGGGACAAGAAGCGTATTTCTAAAATAATCAAGAATGGCAGCAAGGACTGTGATGTGGAGGCTATTGTACATCTTGGCACTAATGATCTGTCCCAAAAAGATGTACTCTCTGTGCAGAATGATTTCCAGAGCTTGGGGAAGGAACTTAGCAGAATAGGCTGTAGGCTTACTTTCTCAGAGGTTTTACCAGTGTATAAGGAGCAAAACGGAAAAGGCCAGCGCATAGCACAATTCAATATGTGGCTAAAGGAATGGTGTAAAGGGGAAGGCTTTGGATATATTAGTCACGATGTCAGTAGCTGGTCCAATCAAAAGATGTACAAAAGAGATGGTTTGCATCCATCAAAAAAAGGGACTGAGTTACTCGGCTATAAATTCACAGATTTTCTGGAGGGAAATTTAAACTAAACAGCGGGGACAGGGAGTTAATTGATACGGAACAACCCTGTCCCCGGCAATTTAAAAACTATAGGGCTATCAGTGCATGTAGCACAGATGTGTGTGTGGACAAGAATACCAACCTTGCTACCAATCAAAATGAAGCCTCTAATAGCGAGTGCCATATAAAGTGCACTAACCAAATAGGTGGTAAGACAATAGGGGAACTCAGGCACCACACAGGTTATGTAGAAAGGAAACACAGGGCCACCCACAAAGGACTCAAATGTTTATACACCAATGCACAAAGTATGAACAGCAAACAGGGTGAACTAGAAATTCAGGTTAATGAGGGCAGATACGATATTGTTGCCATTACGGAAACATGGTGGGATGAAACTCACACATGGAACACACAGCTAGAGGGATTTAAATTATTTAAAAGAAACAGACCAAATAAAAGAGGAGGTGGAGTTGCTCTCTATATAAGAAATAACTACATCTTCACAGAAATAGAGTACAACAATGATAAAAACTGTCTTGAATGCATTTGGGTCAATATAAAAGGGGGGGGAAATGACATTGCCATAGGTGTATACTACAGACCACCCAACCAAACAGAGGAGATAGATGAACTTTTTGCTAGTCAGCTAACTAAGGTATGTAGGAAGCACATCACAATAGTAATGGGGGACTTTAACTACCCTGACATCAACTGGGAGACAAACTCCGCACCAAGTAGAAGATCAAACAGGTTCCTGGCAAACCTAGCAGACAACTTTGTCTCCCAAAAAGTAGAGAATGGAACTAGGGGATTAGCCATTTTGGATCTAATTCTCACTAACAGAGATGAAATGATAGACGGTGTTGGAGCCATAGGAACCCTGGGAGGAAGTGATCATGCAATATTAGAATTCAACATTATAGAAGCACAACCAATAGAACACAGTCAAACTAGAGTCTTGGACTTCAAGAGAGCTAATTTCAATAAACTTAGAGAGGGCTTGGGAAGGATTCCATGGATGAGAATCCTCAAGGGGAAAACAACTCAAGAAGCTTGGGAAATTTTGAAAAATGAGATAATAAAAGCACAGTCTAGCACAATACCAACAAAGAGGAAAAATAACAGCTCTCAAAAGAAACCAGCATGGCTGCATAAAGAACTCTCTGACAAATTGAAAAATAAAAAGGACAAGTATAGAAAGTGGAAAGAGGGGAACATAACTAAGTCAGAATATCAGCAAATAGCCCGAGCCTGCAAAGATGAAGTGAAGAAAGCCAAGGCTCAAAACGAACTGAGGCTTGCGACCAAAGTCAAAAATAACAAAAAAAGCTTCTTTCAACATGTAAAAAACAAGAAAAAAGTGAAGGAAATGATTGGTCCATTAGTGGGTGGAAGTGGCAAGAAGGTGACAAGCAACAGGGAGAAAGCAGAACTATTTAACTCATTTTTTGCATCTGTCTTTACACAAAGGGAAAAAACAGACCAACCTATCAAAAATAGTGCCACAAAAAACAAAACAGAAACACAAGTTAAGATAGGCAAGAAAATCGTTAGTGAGCACCTGTCCAGCCTAGATGAGTTCAAATCGCCAGGACCAGACGGATTACACCCCAGAGTTCTCAAGGAACTGGCAGATGTGATATCGGAGCCACTGAACTATATTTTTCAAAGATCCTGGAACACAGGGGAACTACCAGAGGACTGGAAAAGAGCTGATGTAGTTCCCATCCTCAAAAAAGGAAAAAAAATGGATCCAGGAAATTACAGACCTATCAGCCTGACCTCAATACCTGGGAAGATCCTGGAAAAGATAATCAAACAACGAATCAACGAACACCTAGAGGCAAACAAAGTCATTACTAAAAGCCAACATGGGTTTGTCAAAAATAGATCATGCCAGACAAATCTTATTGCATTCTTTGACCAAGTGACAAAATTAGTGGATCAGAGGAATGCTGTGGACATAATTTACTTGGACTTCAGTAAGGCATTTGATAAAGTAGATCACAACCTACTACTTGACAAGATAGAAAAATGTGGGGTAGACAGAACCACCACCAGATGGATCCGTAGCTGGCTGACCGGCCGTACTCAGCGAGTGGTCCTCAATGGAACTGCATCTATATGGAGGGAAGTGTGTAGTGGGGTGCCCCAGGGCTCTGTTCTGGGCCCAGTACTCTTCAACATCTTCATCAACGATTTGGATGAAGGGATAGATGGGGAACTCATCAAATTTGCAGATGACACCAAGCTGGCAGGAATAGCCAACACTCCAGAAGACAGGCTTCAGATACAGAAGGATCTGGACAGACTTGAACACTGGGCACTAACTAACAAAATGAAATTCAATGGTGAAAAAAGCAAGGTTCTACATTTAGGCAAGAAAAACCAAATGCACAAGTACAGCATAGGTGGCACCATGCTCAATAGTAGTAACTGTGAGAGGGACCTCGGAGTCCTAGTAGACAATCACTTAAATATGAGCCAGCAGTGTGCTGCAGCTGCCAAAAAGGCCAACACAGTGCTAGGCTGCATTAACAGAGGGATAGAATCAAGATCACGTGAAGTATTAATACCACTCTTCAATGCCTTGGTAAGGCCACACTTGGAATACTGCATCCAGTTTTGGTCACCACGATGTAAAAAAGATGTTGAGACTCTAGAAAGAGTACAGAGAAGAGCAACAAAGATGATTAGGGGACTGGAGGCTAAAACATATAAGGAACGGTTGCGAGAATTGGGTATGTCTAGTTTAACGAAGAGAAGGACAAGGGGGGACATGATAGCAGTATTCCAATATCTCAGGGGCTGCCATAAAGAAGAGGGAATTAAGCTATTTTCCAAAGCACCTGAAGGCAGGACAAGAAGCAACGGGTGGAAACTAATCAAGGAGAGAAGCAACCTAGAACTAAGGAGAAACTTCCTGACAGTGAGAACAATTAATCAGTGGAACAGCTTGCCTCCAGAAGCAGTAAATGCTCCAACACTGGAAGTTTTTAAGAAGAGACTGGACAGCCATTTGTCCGAAATGGTGTAGGGTTTCCTGCCCGAGCAGGGAGTTGGACTAGATGACCTCCAAGGTCCCTTCCAACTTTACTACTATTACTATTACTATTAATCCTAGTGTTAATCCCTGCTTATCTAAGAGCCCGGATTGGGCAGTGGTTAAAGTGCAGTATTGCAGGCAAACTCTATCCACAGCCTGGAGATCGATCCTGATGAGGCTCAAAGTTGACTCAGCCTTCCATCCTTCCGAAGTCGATAAAATGAGGGCCCAGATTGTTGGGGGCAAGACGCAAATAATGCTTGCATTGTAAATTGCCCAGAGCAGGGGTAGGCCACGTTGGCTCTTTTATGACTCGTGGACTTCAACTCCCAGAATTCCTGAGCCAGCACAGCTCAGCTTGGAAACCTCTCCCTTTCCCCTCAGCATGGCTGGCTCAGGAATTCTGGGAGTTGAAGTCCACAGGTCTTAAAGTTGCTAAAGTTGGACATCCTTGGTATGGTCCAGGGGTAGGCCACCTTGGCTCTTTTATGACTCCTGGACTTCAACTCCCAGAATTCCTGAGCCAGCCTGGCTCAGCTTGGAAACCTCTCCCTGTCCCCTCAGCATAAGGGAGTAGCACAGCTAAGGAAAAGGGGGAAAAAATGGCAGACTGCATTGTTTGGCGACCCCCGTGAAATGGTCATTCGACCCCAAATGGGGTCCCGACCCACAGGTTGAGAACCACTGGAATAGAGCAACCTTGGCTCTTTTATGACTCCTGGACGTCAACTCCCAGAATTCCTGAGCCAGCATGGCTCAGCTTGGAAACCTCTCCCTTTCCCCTCAGTACGGCCAGCTCAGGAATTCTGGGAGTTGAAGTCCACGAGTCATAAAAGAGCCAAGGTGGCCTAACCCTGGCCTAGAGAGTACTGTGAAACGCTATGGGGCAGTATATAAGCCTAAATTCTATTGCTATTGCTATCTCAATGTTGATTGCTGGCGAGGAGCTCTTGGGAAGCAGTCCTCGGGGCCACCCGGGTCTTTCCGAATGGCTCTTATTCTCATGTCTGCTTTAGCAATTGATGACTTGATTTTCTTCTTCTCCTTAGGTTGGGAGCCACTCAGTTAAAAATTTTCACCTGCGAGTACTGCAACAAGGTGTTCAAATTTAAGCACTCCCTTCAGGCCCACTTGAGGATTCACACCAACGAGAAGCCCTACAAGTGCTCCTTCTGCAACTACGCCAGCGCCATCAAAGCCAACCTGAACGTCCACCTGCGGAAGCACACCGGAGAGAAGTTCTCCTGCGACTACTGCCCCTTCACCTGCCTGAGCAAAGGCCACCTCAAAGTCCACGTGGAGAGAGTCCACAAGAAGATCAAGCAGCACTGCCGCTTCTGCAAGAAAAAGTACTCGGATGTCAAAAACCTGATCAAGCACATCAAGGAGGCCCATGACTTGCAGGACAAGAAGGTGAAGAATGTCTTTGACGAGCTCTGCCTGATGACTCGAGAAGGCAAGAGGCAGCTTCTGTACGACTGTCAGATCTGCGAACGCAAGTTCAAAAACGAATTGGATCGTGACAGGCATATGCTCGTCCACGGGGATGAGAGACCTTTTGCTTGCGAGCTCTGTGGCCATGGAGCCACCAAGTACCAAGCTCTGGAGCTTCATGTCCGCAAGCACCCCTTTGTGTACATTTGCAGTGAGTGCTCAAAGAAATTTGTCAGCTCCATCAGGCTCCGCTCGCATATCAAAGATGCCCACGGGGAATTGTTGGAGACATCTGTTTTTGATCGTTCCATCAATCAGAGCTTTTGTTTGCTGGAACCTGGAGGAGACATCCAGCAGGAAGCCCTTGGGGAGGAACTGTCCCAGACGGCTGCTGAGCTGTCCCTCTTAAACTCCAAGGCACTCTGTATAGTAAAGTCTGTTTCCGCGGGAGAAGTAAACGCCATCGAGGGAAACCACGAAAATCACCCTGCTGAGAGCTTGGGAACATCTCCTGCTCTCCTTTTGGATTTTGAAAGTCCACCAGCAGCAAACACACCAGATCCAATTGGTGAGCCACTAATAGAATTGCTGTCCTTACGCGCTAGCTTGGTCAATGCTTCCGGTAGCTTTTTACAGAAAAACGCTTCGCCCGATTCAGACGGAGAAAAGGCCCCATTGTCAAAAGACCAGCTGCCACTCAACGCTTCAGTGAACGTCCAGTGTGAAGTTGAACAGCTTTTGGGAGATGAAAACTCCAGTCTCAACCAGAAATGCCAAGGTCCAGAGAGCGTTCCTGATCCCGAAGAAGAGAGTCAGACCATTTGTCTTCATCACCAGGTAGTCAACAACGCAACACTTGAAAAGACAGAGTCCTCCAGTTCCCTCCCCCTTCTAGAATCCAGCATAGAAGCTCATCAGAATTCAGAGTCCTGTCCTCAGCCTTCCGAGGATCGAACTGGAGCTGCCGCCTTTATGCAGATTTTGGACAACTTGCAAAAACAACAGATGAGTACAGCCTTGTGTGAGAAGATCAGGAAGGTCTACGGAGACTTGGAATGCGAATACTGTGGTGAGCAGGATGTTGATGGCTTGTTTTCTCTTAGGACCCATGAATAGCAGACGTTTGTTTCCATAGTAATCACCAGAGCAGTAGGTGATTCTGGCCACCCAAGGAAGGAGTGTTGCTATCCTTCTGAAATTAATTATTTTGTAACTGACTTGAAGAAGCAAAATTCAGGATTTGGCTTCTTCTCAAAATGAGATCGTCTGCCCTGTGAGAGGAACCTAGAGAGGGATCTGGGATTTAAAACCTTGAGGCTGTTCCTAGTCCTGTTTAAGTAAATGTTGAGTCTGGAACAAGGGTCAGAAAGCAGGAGCAGGGCACATCAGATTGGTAAAGAAGAAGCAGACCTGGTTGGACAAACAGAGTTAAGGAAAAGCATGGTTGAACTGGGGGGGGGTCCTTGGTACTCTCCGAGCTTGGAATAGAGCAGTGGTTCTCAACCTTTTTAATGCTGTGACCCCCAACCAGTCGTAAGTCGAGGACTACTCAACTGGCGCAGCACCGTTTGCAGAATGGGACTTTTGGCGGGCTCAGCAGGGCAGAGACAGCCTGGACAATTCCTATTGGTTTTGAAAGCCAATAGAATTAGACTCTATTCAAGAGAGTCTATTCTATTGGTTTTCAAAAGCCAATAGAATAAAAGGGAGTAGCACAGCTAAGGAAAAGGGGGAAAAAATGGCAGACTGCATTGTTTGGCGACCCCCGTGAAATGGTCGTTCGACCCCAAATGGGGTCCCGACCCACAGGTTGAGAACCACTGGAATAGAGCAACCTTGGCTCTTTTATGACTCGTGGACTTCAACTCCCAGAATTCCTGAGCCAGCTTGGCTCAGCTTGGAAACCTCTCCCTTTCCCCTCAGCGTGGCTGGCTCAGGAATTCTGGGAGTTGAAGTCCACGAGTCATAAATGAGCCAAGTTGGCCTACCCCTGGAATAGAGGAATAGAGGCAGTCCTAGCAGTTCAACAATTCTATTGGGCTCAGGGCTGGCTGAGGAATTCTGGGAGTTGAAGTCCACAAATCTTAAATTTGTCAAGGGTGGAGACCTGTTTTATGCCTTGCAATAAGATCCTTTGGAGCATATGTGTATAAGCCCCATTGATCTCTTTGCCACTTCTTAGTTTGGCACGGTTTGGGAGTTTGGGACAACCCTGGCCTAAAAGAACACAAAGTGAGAAGAGAGTTAAACATACTGTGAAGGATTAAGCATCTCCCTTTTGTTGGGCTGAGTGGCGGATTTGGTGGGGCAGAATGGGAGAGTCAGCAGATGACTAATGCCTCATTGAGAAAGGATAAGGGCGTTCTACTCTATTCTGCCCTACTAAATCCACCACTGAGCTTCTAGTGTTTGAGCTTCTAGTACTGCCTCTGTACCAGGCAAATCCATGGTTTAAATCCGTTCTTGCCTTCTATGGGCACCCCCAGAATCTGTCATTTTTCCATGAGAAGATATATATAAATAATGAAGAAGAAGAAAGAGAAAAATTTCAAGAGGCTGCCAAGGCCTTCAATCAACCCAAGAATTAAAAGTTGGGCTTTTTTCCTAAAATCTTGAACAACAACCTATTCCAGTGCACTGGCTGTGACAGCTTATCTTTGACTGGCATTAACTGTCAGGTAGAGAACCCAAGCTGTTTTTTGTTTTGATTGAAGAAGGCAATATTTTACCTTGGGGAATTTGTGCTTCTCCTTGTACTAAACAACTGAAAAAAGCTATTTAAGAACTTGAATCTACAGAGCTTCAGTCTTAATATTAAACCTGTGTTCATCCACTAACCCTGGAATCTTGCTGGCCCTGTTCTTAGCAATGCTTGCCTGTTTTCAGCTTCCAACTTGCCACTGAAGATCTGCACTTTCACATTTCCCATCCCCATGTTTTGTGGGATCCTTGGTGCTTTCTGAGTTGGTTCTTTGCTTGCAGATGTCTGCAAGAAAAAGAACCAGGCTGAGAGAGCACCAAGGATCCCACAATTAAACCATGAGCTATAAATATTCCCTTCTGTTGAAACCATGTCTGGTCTCCGTTCTTTAACTGTATGCAGTGAGTCCTGCATACTACTTTATTTGTTCCCCTGTTATATTTAAATCTGAGCCAACTAAACTCCTTGCTTCCTACAGCTGTTATAGCAAAAATGCTTCCCTGGGTAGCCATCTAAGTTCTCCTAATTCACTAATAAGGCTCCCCGATTCAAGTGCTTTCTGAAAATCACATTTCATAACAATTCTACACATTAAGAACAGTTCAATTAGCAGAATACCTTTTAGAAATGTTTCTCATTAGGGACACAATTGGCAGAGGAGTGTCAGTTAATTATGTCCAGATGAGGTTCTGTCTTTCTGGAAATAATTAAATCCATTTCATCAAGTCTTTTCAAATTCATTTACTTGAGAAAAAAAAGTATATTTAAACGGAGTTTTTATGCTTTGCTTCCGAAAGAGCAATCTTAGCCGTTGTGTTCTCACAACATGTTAACTTAGTACAGCTGCTATCCAAACCAAATCTCCTTATCAATACTTCTGGTAGAACAGGGGTCTTCAAACTTGGCCCTTTTATGACTTGTGGATTTCAATTCCCAGAATTCCTCAGCCAGCGTGCCACGCTGGCTGAGGAATTCTGGGAGTTGAAGTCCATAAGTCATCAAAAGGCCAAGTTTCAAGACCCCTGTGGCAGAACATCTCCTTATTTTGGGCAATCCCCCCCTTTTTTTTTTGAGAAACCCTGTTATCCCACAAGAAGGACTAGAGGTGACGTGATAGCTGTCTTCCAATACCTAAGGGGCTGCCACAAAGAAGAATGGGTCAATCTATTCTCCAAAGAACCTGAAGGCAATATAAAAAGCAATGGATGGAAACTAATCAAGGAGAGAACCCAACCTGGAACAAAGGAGAAATGTTATGACAGTGAGAACAATTGACCAGTGGAATGGCTTGCCTCCTGAAATTGTGAGTGCTCCATCACTGGAGGCTTTTAAGAAAAAACTGGACAATGATTTATCTAAACCAGTGGTTCTCAACCTGTGGGTGAGGACCCCATTTGGGATCGAACGACCATTTCACGGGGGTTGCCAAACAACGCAGTCTGCCATTTTTTTTCCCTTTTCCTTAGCTGTGCTACTCCCTTTTATTCTATTGGCTATTCTATTGGCTATTCTATTAGACTCTTGAATAGAGTCTAATTCTATTGGCTTTCAAAAGCCAATAGGAATTGTCTAGGCTATCTCTGCCCTGCTGAGCCCGCCAAAAGTCCCATTCTGCAAACGGTGCTGCACCAGTTGAGTAGTCCTCGACTTACGATCGGTTGGGGTCGCGGCATTAAAAAGGTTGAGAACCACTGATCTAAAAGGATACAGGGATTCCTGCTTGAGCAAAGGATTGGACTAGAACAGTGTTTCTCAACCTTGACAATTTTAAGGCATGTGGACTTCAACTCCCAGAATTCCACAGCCAGCAATGCTAGAAGATCTCTGAGGTTCCTTCCAACTCTATTATTCTGTTATTAAGGGAGGCCTGGCAAGGCTTCACAACCTCACAATCCCCTTTCTTGTTGTCCAAAATTGCAGCAGTATCATGGTTTGGTCACTCTTATCAGTAAGTATTTAGGAAGTAAGTTCTCTGCTGTCAGACCTTAATCATGACCTATTTTTTCAAGCTGCTTCAAATTTACTCCAAATTTTTTGGGAGATGGAGGAAGTAGATATTCCCCCAAGGGTTTGATTCAATAGGATTAGGTATTTTCATGATAGGATTAGACTTCGTTTAACCAACTTAGATTTGTTCGAGGCTAATTTAACCCTGTGTGCGTTAATGGACTGGGCCTGTTGATGCTTTTTGGTGTTCAGCCTTATGGTTGAACTGGGCTAGCTGGCAAAAAAGCCAACACAGTGTTGGGCTGCATTAACAGAGGGATAGAATCAAGATCACGTGAAGTGTTAATACCACTTTACAAGGCCTTGGTAAGGTCACACTTGGAATACTACACCCAGTTTTGGTCATCACGATGTAAAAAAGATGCTGAGACTCTAGTAAGAGTACAGAGAAGAGCAACAAAGATGATTAGGGGACTGGAGGCTAAAGCATATAAGGAACAGCTGCTGGAATTGGGTATATCTAGTTTAATGAAGAGAAGGACGAGGGAGGACATGATAGCAGTGTTCCAATATCTCAGGGGCTGCCATAAAGAAGCTAATAGTCAAGCTATTCTCCAAAGCATGTGAAGGCAGGACAAGAAGCAACGGATGGAAACTAATCAAGGAGAGAAGCAACCTAGGACTAAGGAGAAACTTCCTGACAGTTAGAACAATTAACCAGTGGAACAACCTGCCTCCAGAAGCAGTGAACGCTCCAACACTGGAAGTTTTTAAGAAGAGATTGGACAGCCATTTGTCCGAAATGGTGTAGAGTTTCCTGCCTGAGCAGGGGGTTGGACTCGATGACCTCCAAGGTTCCTTCCAACTTTATTATTATTATTATTATCGATCATCGCACAGTTAGCCAGATGTTCAGACTGGATTTGGCATTTTGTCTACCTATCGAGTCCTTACCCAGGACCTGGGATAGGCAGATGTAGATGTTTGATAGTATTACAGGTATCGTCGCAGGATGGAAGCAGTTCCTAATAAGGCCGCCTTTTGCAATTGACTAATAGCAAATTTGTCAATGCCAATGGTGTTCAAGTGGTGCTCCAGTTGTTTTGGGATTGCGCCCAAGGAGCCTATGACTATTGGTACTACCTTGCTTGCTTTTGCCACAGTCTTTCTATTTCTATTTGTAGGTCTTTGTATTTTGTTATCTTCTCCAGTTCTTTCTCGTCTATTCTGCTGTCTCCAGGCACTGCCACGTCCACTATCCAGACTTTTTTTTCTTTCTTATCGACAATTGTTAAGTCTGGGGTGTTATGTTGCAGGTGCTTGTCTGTTTGAATTCTGAAGTCCCAGAGCAGTTTAATGTTATCATTTTCTATGACTTTCTCTATTTTATGATCCCACCAGTTTTTGCCTACAGGCAAATGATATTTTTTGCAGATCTTCCAATGCACCATTGTTGCTACTTTGTCATGCCGCTGCTTGTAATCAGTCTGTGCAAACTTCTTGCAACAGCTTACCAAGTGGTCCACTGTTTCTTCAGCTTCTTTGCATAGGCGGCACTTACTGTCTGTTGCTGTCTTCTCAATTTTGACTTTGTATGCATTTGTCCTTAAGGCTTGGTCTTGTGCAGCCGGAATTAGTCCCTCGGTCTCTTTCTTCAATTTTCCTGCTCTTAGCCATTGCCAGGTTTTATTGTTATCTGCTTTCCCAGCTATTTTTTTCATGTATTGGCCATGTAGTGCTTTGTCTTCCCAGGCCTCTATTCTGTTCTTCATTTGGTCTTTCTTGTAGGCCAGTTTGGTCTCTCCAGTAGTTAGTAAGCCTTCCTGATATACTAATTTCAGTGCATCTTCTTCATTGTTCTTCAGATATTCTTCCAAAGCCATTTTTTCTTCTTCAACCATCTGATGTACTTGTAGCATTCCACGCCCACCTATTTGCCTTGGTAGATAAAGTCTATCAATGTCACTGCGTGGATGAAGGGCATGATTCATTGTCATTATTTTTCTGGTCTGCCTATCCATTGCTTTTAGTTCTGCTTGAGGCCAGTCCACTATTCCAGCTGTGTACCTAATGACTGGGATTGCCCAGGTGTTGATTGCCTTTATGGTATTTCCTCCATTGAGTTTGGATTTTAAGATCTTCTTCACTCTCTTGATGTATTCACTCTAATCTTTTTCTTGACTTCAGTGTGCTTGATGTTGTCAGCTTGAAGGATACCCAAGTATTTGTAGTACTCTTCCGCATCCAGACTCTTAATGTTATTTTCGTGGGGCATCTTGATTCCTTCAGTTTTCACTATTTTTCCTTGTCTGATAGTAAGTGTGGCACATTTGTCCAAGCCAAACTCCATTACAATATCTTGGCTATATATACGGACAGTGTTGAGCAGCGATTCTATTTCAGATGATGTTTTTCCATACAGCTTCAGATCATCCATGTAAAGGAGGTGGGATAGTCTGGCAGATGTTTTTGATGTTTGATAGCCATGTCCTGATTATTCAGTATTGTTGACAGAGGAAACAGTGCAATAACAAATAGTAATGGTGATAATGAATCTCCTTGAAATATTCCTCTCTTGATATTAACCTCTCCCAGCTTTTCACCATTGATCTGCAACTATGTCTTCCATTGTGCCATCGATTTTTGCACAAATTTTCTGATGTTTCTACTTACTCTTGTTATTTAGGCACTTGATTATCCAATCATGTGGCAGAGAGTCAAATGCCTCTTTGTAGTCAATCCATGCCACATTCAGGTTGGTCTTCCTTCTCTTGCAGTTTTCCAAGATCATTTTGTCTATTAGGAGTTGATCTTTTGTTCCTCTGCTATTGGGGCGGTTTCCTTTCTGCTCAGGTGGAAAGAGATTGTTTTCAACTAGATGCTGTTGTACTGCATCAGCTACCACACCATTTAGTAATTTGAATGTTGTTGGTAAGCAGGTAATTGGCCTGTAGTTACCTGATGTTGCCCCTTTTGCTGGATTTTTCATTATTAGGTAGGTTTTCCCAGTTGTTAGCCACTTTTCAATTTCTCCACCTTGTAGTATATTGTTGAACTGCTTGGCAATGAGTGGGTGTATAACAGTTAGATGTTTCAACCAAAACCCATGCAGTTCATCTTCACCTGGTGCTGAGCAGGGGATTGGACTCGATGACCTCCAAGGTTCCTTTCAACTTTATTATTATTATCGATCATCGCACAGTCAGCCAGATGTTCAGACTGGATTTGGCATTTTGTCTACCTATCGAGTCCTTACCCAGGAACTGGGATAGGCAGATGTGGATGTTTGATGGTACTACAGATATCGTCGCAGGATGGAAGCAGTTCCTAATAAGGCTGCCTTTTGCAATTGACTAATAGTGAATTTGTCAATGCCAATGGTGTTCAAGTGGTGCTCCAGTTGTTTTGGAATTGCACCCAAGGAGCCTATGACTATTGGTACTACCCTTGCTTGCTTTTGCCACAGTCTTTCTATTTCTATTTGTAGGTCTTTGTATTTTGTTATCTTCTCCAGTTCTTTCTCTTCTATTCTGCTATCTCCAGGCACTGCCACGTCCACTATCCAGACTTTTTTGTCTTTCTTATCGACAATTGTTAAGTCTGGGGTGTTATGTTGCAGGTGCTTGTCTGTTTGAATTCTGAAGTCCCAGAGCAGTTTAATTTTATCATTTTCTATGACTTTCTCTATTTTATGATCCCACCAGTTTTTGCTTACAGGCAAATGATATTTTTTGCAGATCTTCCAATGCACCATTGTTGCTACTTTGTCATGCCGCTGCTTGTAATCAGTCTGTGCAATCTTCTTGCAACAGCTTACCAAGTGGTCCACTGTTTCTTCAGCTTCTTTGCATAGGCGGCACTTACTGTCTGTTGCTGTCTTCTCAATTTTGACTTTGTATGCATTTGTCCTTAAGGCTTGGTCTTGTGCAGCCAGAATTAGTCCCTCGGTCTCTTTCTTCAATTTTCCTGCTCTTAGCCATTGCCAGGTTTTATTATTATCTGCTTTCCCAGCTATTTTTTTCATGTATTGGCCATGTAGTGCTTTGTCTTCCCATGCCTCTATTCTGTTCTTCATTTGGTCTTTCTTGTAGGCCAGTTTGGTCTCTCCAGTAGTTAGTAAGCCTTCCTGATATACTAATTTCAGTGCATCTTCATCATTGTTCTTCAGATATTCTTCCAAAGCCATTTTTTCTTCTTCAACCATCTGATGTACTTGTAGCATTCCACGCCCACCTATTTGCCTTGGTAGATAAAGTCTATCAATGTCACTGCGTGGATGAAGGGCATGATTCATTGTCATTATTTTTCTGGTCTGCCTATCCATTGCTTTTAGTTCTGCTTGAGTCCAGTCCACTATTCCAGCTGTGTACCTAATGACTGGGATTGCCCAGGTGTTGATTGCCTTTATGGTATTTCCTCCATTGAGTTTGGATTTTAAGATCTTCTTCACTCTCTTGATGTATTCACCTCTAATTTTTTTCTTGACTTCAGTGTGCTTGATGTTGTCAGCTTGAAGGATACCCAAGTATTTGTAGTACTCTTCCTCATCCAGACTTTTAATGTTATTTTCGTGGGGCATCTTGATTCCTTCAGTTTTCATTATTTTTCCTTGTTTGATAGTAAGTGTGGCACATTTGTCCAAGCCAAACTCCATTACAATATCTTGGCTATATATACGGACAGTGTTGAGCAGCGATTCTATTTCAGATGATGTTTTTCCATACAGCTTCAGATCATCCATATAAAGGAGGTGGGATAGTCTGGCAGATGTTTTTGATGTTTGATAGCCATGTCCTGAGTTATTCAGTATTGTTGACAGAGGAAACAGTGCAATAACAAATAGTAATGGTGATAATGAATCTCCTTGAAATATTCCTCTCTTGATATTAACCTCTCCCAGCCTCTCACCATTGATCTGCAACTGTGTCTTCCATTGTGCCATCGATCTTTGCACAAATTTTCTGATGTTTCTACTGACTTCTGTTATTTCTAGGCACTTTATAATCCAATCATGTGGCATAGAGTCAAATGCCTTTTTGTAGTCAATCCATGCCACATTCAGGTTGGTCTTCCTTCTCTTGCAGTTTTCCAAGATCATTTTGTCTATTAGGAGTTGATCTTTTGTTCCTCTGCTATTGGGGCGGTTTCCTTTCTGCTCAGGTGGAAAGAGATTGTTTTCAACTAGATGCTGTTGCACTGCATCAGCTACTACACCAGTTAGTAATTATTATTATTATTATTATTATTATTATTATTATTATTATTATTATTATTACTTTGGGAACAGAACCATCTACTTACTAGTTTTTCTCTGTGTTGTTTTCAGGCAAGTTGTTTTGGTACCAGGTGCATTACGACATGCACGTCCGCACACACACACGAGAGCATCTCCATTACTGCTCGCAGTGCAACTATTCCTCCATCACCAAAAACTGCCTTAAGCGCCACGTCATCCAGAAGCATAGCAACATTTTGCTAAAGTGTCCGACCGAAGACTGCGATTATTCTACCCCGGATAAGTACAAACTCCAGGCCCATCTCAAAGTGCACTCGGAGTTGGTAAGCCTGGAATTTTAATAGTACCTTTGTTTCAGCTTTCAATTTATTTACATGCTTACCAGATTTTAAAACTACAGGTAATCCTCGACTTACAACAATTTGTTTAGTGACCGTTCGGAGGTACGATGGCAGTGAAAAAAGTGACCAATGACCATTTTTCACACTTACGAGCATTGAAGCGTCCTGATGGTTCACACGGTCAAAATTCAGCTGCTTGACAACTGACTCACCTTTATGACGGTCGCAGTCTCCGTCCCAGGGTCACGTGATCACCTTTTGCGACTTTCGGACAGGCAAAGTTGATGGGGGAAGCTAAATTCACTTCACAACCGCATTCACCTAACAACAAGACAGATCATACAATGGGGCAAAACTCACTTAACAATTGTTTCACTTAGCCACACACATTTTTGGGCTCAATTGTGGTTGTAAGTCGAGGACAACCTGTACCATCTTTTTCCCAGGGCGATTCCGGGTGGTGTACAAATAAAACAATAAAATAAAAATTAAAAACAGTGCATAAAATTTGAAGGAGGCAAGCAACTGTTAAACGTCAGTTGACCTGTGGGGATTTTGAAACCAAAATTTGCCCCATTTTCTGCAGGGCGGGGCTCAAATGGAAAGGTCTATCACTGTATTGTTTGTATTTCTCTATAAATAGATGTTACCAGCCTTTCAAAACGTCTCCAGCTCAACAGTACCACCTTATTTGTTCCTAGGTTCAGGTGTGGGAAAGTCTGAATTTTGGGACTGTGATTATGGATTGGTTGAATTATAAAGGAAAAAAGTTGCATACCGTTAGAGCACCCCAACCTCTGGATGAGTTCCTTATATGCTGGGCAGATTTGGTATCTGAATAAAGTGGTTGCATTTGCATTATGCTGCATAATTCAACTTTGGGCTTCTTTTTAGATTAAGTAATCAAGAGATTTGCAGAATTTGGGGAGCATTTCTTGGCTTGATCACTGATGGATTTTTTAAAAAGGGCAGCTTATGGGGAAAAGCAACTCACTGTTAATATCTATATACTCTAATGCAGGGCTTTTCAACCCGTGGTACGGGTACCACCTGTGGTACATTGGCACCTGGCAGGTGGTACGCGACCATCCTAGAAAAGTAGCGGGGGAGGGGAATGAGCTGAACCGGTGGCAGCACCGCACAAGCCTGAGCGAGAGACGGCTGGAGCTGCAGGGCTGTCAGGGCTCAGCGGAAGCGCCAGGATCAGTGCCACTTTCCAGCTGATCGGCGTTTCTTCGGGGCTGTCAGGGCTCAGTGGAAGTGCCAGGATCAGCGCCAGGCTCCAGCTGGAAAGCAGCACTGATCCTGGTGCTTCTGCTGAGCCCAGAAGTGCCAATCAGCTGGAATGTTGCAGCATCTCCAGGGTCTTGTGATTTACATTCAGATGCTTGGCAACTGATTCATATTTATGACGGTCACAGTGTCCCAGGGTCATGTGAAGTGACCAAAACCTGCTGCAAAAACCCAGCAGACGGGGGGAATAAAAACCAAACACCCCCCATCCCACCCCTGCTGCCAGTCTTCAATAGAAATTCTCACAACAATGAAAACCTCGGAGAGGAGGAAGAGCGCGGCCGGGTGGGCAGGCAGGTGTCTTGCTCGGTTGTGGCTTGAGGGGCACTTTTTTCAGTGCCATTGTAACTTCTAAGAGTCATTAAGTGAACTGTTGTAAGTCGAGGACTACCTGTACTTTATCACTTTTTTCCTTTTTTTTTTTTATCATCACGTTTTTGACACCTTGCTAGGTGACTGGTGGTACTCGGATGTTGCCATATCCTAAAAGTGGTACAATAGGTGAAAAGGTTGAAAAGCCCTGCCCTAATGATCTTTTCACTAGATGACACGCCTTTATGGAAATACAAATGACATCTCAGTTATACAGATTAAATCCTACAAAAATGCAGAAAGGTCGTGAAAATGACCCTTCCTTCCTTTCTTTCTTTCTTTCTTTCTTTCTTTCTTTCTTTCTTTCTTTCTTTCTTTCTTTCTTTCTTTCTTTCTTCCTTCCTTCCTTCTTTCCTTCCTTCCTTCTTCCCATACCTTCCTTCCCTTCCTTTCTTTCTTTCTTTCTTTCTTTCTTTCTTTCTTTCTTTCTTTCTTTCTTTCTTTCTTTCTTTCTTTTTTCTCCCTCCCTCTCTCCCTCCTTTCCTTTCTTCCTCGATTGAGTTGAGGCAAATTTATTCAGCAATACATATAACCTCCCTCTCCTTACCTTTTTGAAGAAAAGAGAAATGTATATAAAGTTGCCTCTGTGGACTGCTAATTTTCTGGCCTTATCTAGGAGCAGATTGCCTCCAGCCATGTCCCCAGCATCCTTGACTAAATCTCTTCGCCCCCTTGGCACACCAACCATATGCCCTTCAGTCAAGCTTATCAAAGTCCTCCCCTTCCCTTCGGCCTTAATTATCTTTTCATCTTCTCTCCTTGATACACTGGCCAAAGTCTCAGTAAGCCCATAGACAACAAAAGGCCTGAAAAATAATATTGCTTGCCTTTGCAGCTTCCTTGGACATGAGTCTTGTGCAGGATTTATGTAGAGAGGAAGATGGCTGGGACCAATTTATTTGTGCTCTTTGTTTGCAGGGTAAGATACAATCAGTGAAGGAGAAGCGATAGCCCTGAGAAAAAGCAATAAGAAACCCTTTTATTGCATAGAACACAGAATCACAGGGCTAGAAGCGACCTCAAAGGTCTTCTAGTCCAACCCCCTGCTCAAGGCTGGAGACTCATATTATCCTGGTCAAATGGCTGTCCAATCTCTTCATATGAGCCGCGGTGGCACAGTGGTTATAATGCAGTACTGCAAGCTAATTCTGCTGACTGCAGACTGCCAGCAGTTCCACAGTTCAATTCTCACCAGCTCAAGGTTGACTCAGCCTTCTAGCCTCCTGAAGTCGGTAAAATGAGGACCCAGATTGTTGGGGGCAAGATGCTGACTCTGTAAACCGCTTAGAGAGGGCTGTAAAGCACTGTGAAGCAATATATAAGTCTTTTTTTTATTATAATTTTTATTAGTTTTTTTACACAAACATAAGTCATTCAATAGTTGGTAAACAGTGTGGTGACTGGGTTACATTTTTAAAAACAGTCCTTAACAATTAATTTCTATAGTCTGTATTTCATATATTAATTTTATTTACTTTCCTCTTCCCCTAAAAACATTCTTTTTTGCAAACATTGCATTAATATAATTCTTATTGTTTTAATAACTGACAATTTAGTATATATATATTTCCAATATTCCTAAAAAATAATCATCATATTAAGACATTTTTTTTCTTTCCATTCATTTGGATTGCCTTATCATCATCAATCCTGTTACAGTCCTTATTTTAGTTTATTTCCCCCACCAAATTCTGAGTATTTTTACTGGTAGCAATTAGTTACATTTGGATTGTCAGACTTAATTCTATTTTTTCCATATAAGCCATCTCACATTTTTGTGTTTCTTAAGTATTAAATATAAAAGTAAAAAAGAGAGAGGAAGAGAAAAAGAATGAGAGAAAAAAAAATACAAAAATACAAAAGAATAGAAGAAAGCAGTTGTAACAGAACAGAGAAAATAACATAGTACTTAAAATATAGCGATATATAAGTCTTAAGTGTTTTTGCTATTGCTATAACCCTCCAGTGTTGGAGGACTTAGAACATCTGAAGGCAAGCCATTCCACTGATTAATTGTTCTCGTTGTCAAAAAATATCTCCTAGGATGGTTCTCTCTTTAACATAAAGTGAAGAAACGCAGAACTGACCGGAAATTTGCTGGAAATATTCTGTCCCCTCCACCTAACACGTGTTTACAGAGAAAAGCCAATTTGGGAGTCTTTTAATCTACTTTACTAGTCTGTGTTTTTTAATTAGGTCATATTTTGAAATGATTGGCTTCTGTTCCAAGATCTTGAAAGACGTCAGGATCCACTAAGCCACCATGAGCCTCCCTGTATGTTAGAATTTTTGATGCCATAGAAGAGCATGAGGAAATTTTGTTAATACTATTTTTCCCCCTCCCTCTCTGATGCCCAACTGTGTTTATGCATTTTTCCTTAAAAAGAAATGTTCAGCATGATGCATTGGATGTTTGTAGAGCTCCTATATTCTGACAGGAGATAGACTGTTGGCCAATATCTCCAACAGGTTGTATACCTTTGGGGAAAAAAATAGGAATGTTCAGAATAGCCAGCTTCCTACTCTGACTAAGTACCGTGACTCTGAAAACCACAGTTGCTTTTTGAGAAAGCAGCATGAAATTCTGAGCAAATGGGGGAATCCTTCTGTCATTGCACCATAGTGTTTACAGGTATTTATTAGGATCATTATAGCCTGATTTTAGAAAAGAATGCTCAGCTGAATTCATTTTGCATGGAAAGCCTGGGCTTGTTTTCAGATCACAGGCTCAATTTTTATTTGTAGCAGTTGATTTCTTACAAACTGCTGTGCTCTGTGTGTGTTTGTGTCTATCGAAAAGGTACATACAGTTTCCGAAGTGCTTAAGAGCCTAGCACGTTGATTGAATAGCAGGGTTTTTAACAGATGCCAGAGAAAAACAAGAGAAAAATCTAGGTAAAACTTCCAATTTACCTTTTGCCTAAATTGGATACTACTCACCATCCTCTCTTTCTGCCTCTGTTATTTTTTTCTTTAAAAAAAATAAAAAATAAGGTACAATACAGATTGTCCTCGACTTACGACTTACATTTGTCCATTATAGTCATAGGTTGTGACTGTGGTAAAGTGTGGGTCACCCACATGACCCACCTTTTTGCAGAAGTCATTAATTGCCATAAAATGTTGTGACCAGTTGGTTTGATAGAACATGTTAAACTCTGGCTGTGGAATTCTGGGAGTTGAAGTCCGCATGCCTTAAAATTGTCAAGATTGAGAAACACTGCTCTAAAGAAAGGAGTTTTAGAAGTGTTACCTTGAGATTAACCCTTGTTGATCCAGTCTTAAAGATCATGAGAAGTGATAATACATACACAAGTGAGGCCACACTTAGAATACTATATACAGTTCTGGTCACCATGATGCAAAAAAGATGCTGAGACTCTAGAAAGAGTGCAGAGAAGAGCAAGGAAGATGATAAAGGGCCTGGGGAGCTAAAACATATGAAGAACGGTTGCAGGAATTGGGTATGTCTAGTTTATTGAAGAGAAGGTTTAGAGGAGATGTGATAACTGTCTTCTAGTACTTGAGGGGTTGTCACAGGGGGGGGGGATTGATTTATTCTCCAAAGCTCCACAGGACAGGACAAGGAATAATAAGTGGAAGCTTGCTATAAAGAGATCCAATCTAGAACTCAGGAGGAATTTTCTAACAGTGAGAACAATTAATCAATGGAATAGCTTGCCTCTTGGAATAGAATAGAATAGAATAGAATAGAATAGAATAGAATAGAATAGAATAGAATAGAATAGAATAGAATAGAATAGAATAGAATAGAGAATTTTAAATTCTCTATTGGTGAAAAATCAGAAGTTCTCACAGTTGACTGCATTTAGCTGATTCAAATAACTTTATATTTATATAAAAATATTTACAATACCATTCTTCTTTACAGCAACATAGCTTAATTGAAGACTTCTTACAGAGACAGACCAGAGATAAACCTTGAGACTGGAAATCCAGCTTCTAACTCAATACTCTTTTGCACAGACTCAGTAGCACTTTCCTCACATTAGCTGACTGAGTTACCACATGACTCTTCCTGTTCATGAATATTCCAACAAGTAGAGTAGAGTAGAGTAGAGTAGAGTAGAGTAGAGTAGAACAGAAATAGAGCTGGAAGGGACCTTGGAGGTCTTCTAGTCCAGCCCCCTGCTTAAGCAGGAGGACCTATACTATCTCAGACAAGTGACTGTCTAGCCCAGGGGTAGGCAACCTTGACTCTTTTATGATTCGTGGACTTCAACTCCCAGAATTCCTGAGCCAGCATGGCTCAGCTTGGAAACCTCTCCCTTTCCCCTCAGCATGGCTGGCTCAGGAATTCTGGGAGTTGAAGTCCACGAGTTATAAAAGAGCCAAGGTGGCCTATACCTGGTCTAGCCTCTTCTTAAAGATCTCCAGTGATGGAGCATCCACAATTTCTGGAGGCAAGCTTCTCTCTTGGATCAGTTTCCAACCACTGTTGGATTCTGGGTGCTCCATCACTGAAGGTTTTTGAAAATAGAACTGGACAACCATTTGATCGGGATGTTATACAGTCTCCTGCCTTGAGCAGGGAATTGGACTAGAAGACCTCTGAGGTCCCTTCCAGCCTTATGATGTTATGTTCTGTATGTTCTATTCATACTAGAAAATGTGTTCATGTTATGCTTTTTTTCCTCTTATAAACCTTGACGCTTTTTGATAGCGAACATATCTAATTCTTTTACATTTAAGCCAAAATGTCTGAAGATGCTAAAAATGTCAAATCCCAAATTCTAATCTCTCCTTGATAAAAGAATTCCAGATCCAGAGATATTTAAAAATGATTGGTTATCACTGAGATTTGCTGCTGAAAACAGCTCAGCACCGAAAACGTTTTCTAATAAGCACATATTCCGACAAGATTTTTATTTTTTACTTATTATCTCAGCAAAGTAAAGGTCTCGCATATAGCAATGAGAATTTTCTGATTTTCTCTTTGTGGCTGGAATTTTCCTTTGCAGGCCGCTCTTACTCTGCAAGGAAATCTAATTTTTATCTCTGAGTCTCATGCAACATTTGGCTTTTTCGGAAAGCAAACCTTGGCATTTGAAGAAGTGGAGCAATCTGTCTCTTCCACACTGTCAAAAGTTCCCAGGAGCCTTTATGGAGCTGGCTGCATATGTTCAGAATCGAATTAGAGTCTCCAGCTCATCAACTTGGCTTCAAAATTATTAGCTTTGGAATGATAATGTACTTGACGTTTTGCGTACTTGTTTTCTGGTTTCTGAAACATTCAATTCCCACTGAGCAGATATTCAAATATTGACAGAAATAATAGTTTAGGGGCTTGGAATCCATTCCCAATTAGCTTTTCGTTTTCTCCACGTGGGATGAAATGGTCCCAAATATCATTTACACATAACATTTGCGGGGGGAAAAGCAATTTCAGTGTTGCAGAGGTAATCTTCTTAAAACCTACCATTTCTAAAACCAGTTTTAATTTTGAATTCCATGACCTGTTAAATTCAAGGAGATTGGACTGCCAGGCTGCACCTGTCCTTTGTGAGAGCTGGTTCGTAATATGCCTGTACAGTATTGGTAAACAGATTGTCACTCACTAGATCAGCAATTCTCAACCTATGGGTCGCGACCCCATTTGGGGTCGATCGACCATTTTTCGGGGGTCGCCAAAGGCGGCGATCCGCCATTTTCTCCCCTCAGGGGGCGCTGCCGCGCATGCGTGCCATGCATGGGGGCGGGCCCGCGCATGCGTGCCGTGCATGGGGGCGGGCCCGCGCATGCGTGCCGTGCATGGGGCGGGCCCCGCACATGCGCGCCACGCATGGGGCGGCCCGCGCATGTGCGCCGCGCATGGGGGGTGCCGTGCATGTGCACCGCACATGCGCGCCGCACATGGGGGCGCCACGCATGCGCATAACGTTTGTGTGACGGGGGTCGCCGTCACACAAACGTTGAGAACCACTGCACTAGATCATACCGAATTCCCAAAATTTCCAGCTTGGCCATACTTGACCTAGAACTATAATACCTACCTACCTTCCTTCCTTCCTTCCCTCCCTCCCTCCCTCCCTCCCGGTGCAGTGGTTAGAATGCAGTATTGCAGGCAAACTCTGTCCACTGCCAGGAGTTCAATCCTATCCAGCTCAAGGCTGACTCAGCCTTCCATCTTTCTGAAGTCGGTAAAATGAGCACCCAGATTGTTGTTGCCAAAATGCTGACTTTGTAAACCGCTTAGAGAGGGCTGTAAAGCACTATGAAGCAGTATATAAGTCTAAGTGCTATTGCTATGTAGGTATATGCATAATTATTATTATTTTGGTCATATTTATGCAGTGTATATTGGAGGTGGTTACCCTTTGAGAGGTGTATGCATGCATGCAACATCTCATTTTAATGTATACTGATTAATATACATTTAAAGTGACAATAAAGTTATTCTATTCTATTCTATTCTATTCTATTCTATTCTATTCTATTCTATTCTATTCTATTCCATTCCATTCCATTCCATTCCATTCCATCCTATCCTTCTTCCTTCCCTCCCTCCCTCTCTCCCTCCCTCCCTCCCTCCTCCCTCTGTTGCTCTAAACCAGGGTTGTCCAGCCATGGCAACTTCAAGACCCGTGGACCAACCTGTGGAGTTGAAGTCCACCGATCTTCAAGTTGCCAAGATTATTCTAAACCAAAGCTATGAATTATTTTGAAATCACCCATGTGCTTACAGCTCTTTTTTTAAAAAAAAAAAAGAAAAATCCTTTCCATATGGCTCATTGTGATAATGATAACTGTTCTGTCCTTTCAGACGCCAACTAAAATCCACCTTTGAGCCTCATCTTGTTGGGAGCCAGATATTATTCACTGTGTAATGAGTTTAGCAATCAGTTCAGTGAACCGATACCATCTTCTTCTCCCTTTTCTTTCCTTTAAAGGACAAAAAGAGTTATTCCTGCCCTGTGTGTGAGAAATCATTTTCTGAAGACCGACTTATAAAAGCTCATATAAAGACAAACCATCCAGGTAAGATAAGCCACGCTGATGGGTTCGAATGCAGCGTAACCGTGCAGGCAAGGGCGCCAGCTAAAGAACATTCTGCTGTTATATTATGCCTTATTACTATTAGGCTTTCATTGTTACTGTTGTTATTGTCATTATCATCATGAGGAAGATAATTTTAAAAAAGAAATCCTTTGGGGGATTAAATTATGTAGTGTCCCAGCACTTATACTATGAATAGTAATTCGCCAGGCTGAAATCAGCGAGGCAAATCTTCCTTCTAGAATTGAAGATGTATTGCATATGAGTAGTTAACAATGGCTCCTAAGTGCTTCTATAACCTTCCCCTCTCCTGCCTGCCAAGTTGCTCAAAGGATTTTCGGTTTCCAGCAAACAATTGGATAGATTTTGGAGGTGTTAGCAAGGAGGGAAGGAAATTGTGACTTGCCAACTTCTGTCTGCAGAGGGATAGTGGGTGTGTGAACACACACCATCTCCTGGCTCACTTCTCAAACTGTTTCAGAGAACTTTCTTCTGGATAGGACTGTCCTCTCCTCTCCTCTCTCTCAAGTAGCAATGACCTAAGGCAGGGCTTTTTTCAACCATTGGCACCTGGCAGGTGGTACGCGACCATCCTAGAAAAGTGGTAGCAGGGGAGGGGAATGAGCTGAACTGGTAGCAGCACTGCACAAGCCTGAGCGAGAGATGGCTGGAGCTGCAGGGCTGTCAGGGCTCAGCGGAAGCGCCAGGATCAGTGCTGCTTTCCAGCTGATCGGCACTTCTTCGAGGCTGTCAGGGCTCAGTGGAAGCACCAGGATTAGCGCCAGCCTCCAGCTGGAGCTCGGTGCTGAACCTGGTGCTTCTGCTGAGCCCTGAAGAAGCACCAATCAGCTGGAAAGCAGCACTGATCCTGACACTTCTGCTGAGCCCAGAAGAAGCGCCGATCAGCTGGAATGTTGCAGCATCTCCAGGGTCGGAGTAACTGACTCCGACCCTGGAGACTCACAGTGTCCCAGGGTCATGTGAAGTGACCAAAACCTGCTGCAACCACCCAGCAGACGGGGGGAATAAAAACCAAACACCCCCCCACCCCACCTCTGCTGCCAATCCTCAACAGAAATTCTCACAACAATGAAAACCTCAGATAGGAGGAAGAGCGCCACCGGGCAGGCAGGCAGGTGTCTTGCTCAGCTATGGCTTGGGGGGCACTTTTTTCAGTGCCATTGTAACTTCGAACAGTCACTAAGCGAACTGTTGTAAGTCAAGGACTACTGTATATGCCGGCATATAAGGCCACTTCCACGAGCGCTAAAATTGGCGCCAAAGACGGGGGTCGTCTTATACACCGGGTCGCCTTGTACGCCGGCATATACGGTACCTGTATGTCACTTTTTCCCTTTGGGGGGGGGTTATCAAGTTTTTGACACCTTGCTAGGCGACTGGTGGTACTCAGATGTTGCCATATTCTAAAAGTGGTACAATGGGTAAAAAGGTTGAAAAGCCCTGACCTAAGGAATGGTTTGCAGAGTGAGAATAGAGAGACTTTGAATTAGCCCGTCAGATTTTTAAATCAGTCCAAAATCACTAGGGTTCACTCCTCTCTCTGGTTGAAATGATGACATACAGTAGTGGCCAAAACTGTGGAAACCTTTTGGGAGAAGTGTACAGTAAAAATGCCACCTTTGGTTAAGTTTCCACCAATTTTTCTTCTAATTTCTTTATAATTGTAGCCTTGTTCACTTAATAATACTATTTTACATCGCTTTCTGGGCGACCAGTCAACTCTTTGCACCATGACTTTAATTTTATTACGTTTTACAAGCTCACTAAATGAAAAAACATAAAAAAAACCCAACCAACTTGATAACAATTACATAACACACTGACAAATGTTCTCCTCTCGGCTTCAATACGTGACATCAATCACTGAATCCTACTGTGATCTGATTGGCTCATTGCCAAAACAGGATGACACCTGATTGGCTCTCTAAACACTCATGCTCATTGGCTACAATCAGATGAAGGAAAGCTACCTGATCTCAACCTAAGCAAGTTGTGCTTCCTTTTTCTGGTTATTTGGCTATAACTTTTCATAGAATAGAATACAGTACAGATAATTGAACAAACTTTGTTGCAGTACAGATAATTGAACAAACTTTGTTGCATTATAATTGAACAAACTTTGTTGCTTTGATTAAATTATCTTTATATAATTTTATGATACTACTCCAAAAAGAAAGTGGTGTTATTAGCCATCAAACCTCAAAAATACACTTTTCCCAAAAGGTTTCCACAATTTTGGCCACTACGGTAGAGCTTAGGATGCAAGTCACCCTTGAATTATTTTTGCTTCTAGTAGCTATAACCAAGTCCATATGGCATACAAAGACATACAGTAGTCCTCAACCTATGACCATTCTTTTAGTGACCCTAGGAAGTTACAATGACAATGAAAAAAGTGACTTAAAGTCTCTGTGGGAATTTGTGTGCCCTATATGATCTCCCCAAGATGGAAGGTGCAAGTAGCCCTCAATTTACACTTGCAACCATTCATTTAGTAACTGTTTTCGAAGTTACTGAAAAAGGTAATTAAAAAATGTTTTATGACCGTTTTTCACACTTACAATCACCACTGCAGCATCCCCACGGTCACGTGATCAAAATTCAGAGACTTGACAACTGGTTCCTATTTATGACGGTTGCAGTGTCCCGGAGTCACGTGATCACCTTGTATGACAAGCAAAGTCAGCGGGGAAGCCAAATTCACTTAACAACCGTGTTAATAACAACTGCAGTGATTCGGTCAGCAGCTTTGACAAGAAAGGTCACAAAATGGGACAAAACTCACTCAGCAGCTGTCTTACCACCAGCAGAAATTTTGGGTTCAGTTGTGTTAGCAGTCAAGGATTACCTTGACTTGTGACTGGTTGCTTAGCAACAGACCCCAGACAACCTCGTTATGACCTGCATTCAAAGTATTGAATACAGAGCCCTCTTCCCCATCCCCTCCCACCTCGATCACACCTCCACACACTTAACAACCAGCCTGAAATTATGGCTGTTTGCAGCATCCCATGGTCACCTAACTGCGTGTTACAATGGTTTTGCCCAAAATCCTGCATTTGCTTCCAGATTTTGGCCAAAGCAGCTCTTAACAAACCATGGGTTCCCTTAACGCCTGTGCAATTTGTTTAAGAACTGCTGCAAAACAGTTCATAAAAATGTCACATGGGCGACCCGATTTATGACTGTCACGACTAAGGGCCAAGCTCCATTACAGCTGTAACTCAAGGACTACCTCTCTACGCATCCTTTTAAAGCAGTGTTTCTCAACCTTGACAATTTTAAGGCATGTGGACTTCAACTCCCAGAATTCCACAGCCAGCATTGCTGGCTGTGGAATTCTGGGAGTTGAAGCCCACATGCCTTATAATTGTCAAGGTTGAGAAATACTGTTTTAAAGATACAGCCACTTGCTTACGTTTGGTTATTCTCCCTCACTGAGTCTAAATAATGCATCCTTCTTTTCTGGCAATTATACCATCCCATCTGGGTTTTTAGGCCTTTTGCAGTTGTTAAACAAGCTGTTTATTTGGAATTCCCAACCCTTCCAGAGATCCTGGGTGAAGCCTTGAACAAATGTTAGCAGCTCTCGGAGACTATTAAAGCTCATAAATATTTGGTTAGTGAAGCTGCCCTGCTTAGGTGTTTACTGTTTGAGAAGGCTTCCTGCGAGAAAACACACACAGACAAAAAAGTAGTTTCTGCATCAACAGCCCATTCGGTCTCTAATTTGTCACTCAAAGAGTAAGCCCTAGAGAAAGCAGCCTAATACACAATGTTGGAAAAACCATCAGTTAATGAGGCTCTTTCTTTCACGTTGAAATCTTAGCTGGGGAAAAGAAAACCTACGAAAGGAGTACTGCTTAAAAGATTCAACAACCAGCCGTCAAAACAATCTATATTTTATTGGTTTTTGAAATGTCTTCCCTGAAGGCTAGAACTTATCTTTTTCCTTTCCTTTCCTTTCCTTTTCTGCTTCTTCCATCCTTCTCTAACCCCACCCACCCACCCCCCTTTCAATTTCAGAGGTGTCTATGCACACAATTTCCAAGATTGTTGGCAGGAGAGTTCAGCTCAAAGGACTTATCGGAAAACGAGCTATGAAATGCCCTTATTGCAATTTTTATTTCATGAAGAACGGATCGGATCTCCAGCGTCACATTTGGGCTCATGAAGGTAAATGGGGTGGAGCAAGGACCTGTCTGTCCATAATTGCAGTAATTTGCCAGTGAGAAAAAAAAAATCAGGAAGGCAAAAACCGAGGAAGCAAACATGGCATGTTCTTATACAAATGCATACAATGAGCTGTTCATATTTCAGCCCTTTTATTAAAAGACCTTCTTCAGCACCAATACCTAAATCAGGGGTAGGCAACCTCGGCTCTTTTTTGACTCATGGACTTCAACTCCCAGAATTCCTGAGTCAGCATAGCTGACTCAGGAATTCTGGGAGTTGAAGTCCATGAGTCATAAAAGAGCCGAGGTTGCCTACCCCTGACCTAAATGATGAACAAAATCATATCAAGTCCTGCCTCAGCCATAAAAGCCAGCTAGCTGGGTGATTTTGGGCCAATCTCTCTCTCTCAGCCTAACCCACTTCACAGAAGGAGGAAGAAGATACATTGGATATGTTCATTGCCTTGAGTTATTTATAAAAATAATAAAGGCAGGATATCAATGCCATAAAGTCAATTGGAGCAGAGAGAATTCAAAGCACAATTTGGGATTTACTCCACATCAGGGTTCATTGGACAACTGTATCATCAACTCAAATTTGTTTTACTTTTTTATTCATATTGTATCATTTAATAAATACAAGCATATTTAACCATAACAACACTTCCACATCATTTAAAAGGTTGTCTGAGCTGATGCAAAATCTAGCACAGAGCATAGTAGCACAAGGTTAATCTTTAATTCCCATTGTTGATGTTGTGTAACGCATTCCTCATTTATAGTATTTATAATGCAACTTCTTCCCTAGCCCCATTTTATTGCTTTAGTATGTAATGACATCAGTTTTCAGAACTCCTTCCTTTACCCTATTTTGGAATTAGTATAAATCAGTTGTTTGTGCCTCATCTCATTCAGGGTATTTGTTTTGTGATTTTTCTGCCTCAGCAGCTGAAGTCCACAGTTATTCAGGAATCAATATGTTGAATCCCTTTTATTGCTAAATTAATGAATCAGGGTTACTCCGGCAAGTAATTCTTTCTTGATATGTACCTACAAAGAAAATGTTAAATTAGCATATTACCATTTGCGAAGGATTTTTTAATATTCACACATTTTCAAAGCTGCTGGCCGCACAAAAAAGGCAACAAAATTCAGTGTGCTGTGCTATTACCTCTCCTCCTCCCACCCTCCATAAAGGTGCACGGCACTCTACAAACCGCAAGACAATACATTCTTATTCAAGGAACTTTGCAATCTTATGATTATAGCTCAGAGCAAAAGAGATGGGTAAGAGAGAATGGTAAACCAGAAAAAGAATGACTTGGATTTGCACAACATTTAAGTCCTAAACTTAGAGAAGCAAAACACAGTATCTGTTTATTTATCCAATTTACGTGGCTGCCCACCTGAACAAGGGACTCTGAAAGGGACAGAATTAAAATAAAATAAAACTTCCCAGTTCCAGCGTTTACATGAGTTATGTCCAGAAAAATAAGCCATGATTGTTATGTTATGTTCTAGATTAGGCATGTCCAGCCTCCAGCTCACAGGCCACAGCCCTGGACAGCTAGTAATGCAGCCCCACAAAATCATAAACTTTTAACATTATGTTATTTATATACATTAACTATATTATATATCTTATGTGTGACCCTGGCAAGCCAAAAGGTTTGACACTCATGATCTAGACTTCAACTCCCAGAATTCCTGAGCCGGCCTGGCTCAGCTTGGAAACTCTCCCTTTCCCCTCAGCGTGGCTAGCTCAGGAACTCTGGGAGTTGAAGTCCATGAGTCATCAAAGAGCCAAGGTTGCCTAACCCTGGCATAAGTCCTCCTGCTCTAAGCCGTGAGCCTCCTAGACCAAGGGTAGGCAACCTTGGCTCTTTTATGACTGGTGGACTTCAATTCCCAGAATTCGTGAGCCAGCATGGCTCAGCTTGGAAACCTCTCCCTTTCCCCTCAGCATGGCTGGCTCAGGAATTCTGGGAGTTGAAGTCCATGAGTCATAAAAGAGCCAAGTTTCCTATCATCTAGGCCAGGGGTAGGCAACCTTGGCTCTTTTATGACTCGTGGACTTTAACTCCCAGAATTCCTGAACCAGCATGGCTCAGTTTGGAAACCTCTCCCTTTCCTCTCAGCATGGCTGGCTCAGGAATTCTGGGAGTTGAAGTCCACGAGTCATAAAAGAGCCAAGGTTGCCTATCCCTGGTCTAGATTAGGATACACAAAACCATTTAACCTTTTCAAGGATGCTGACAGAAGAGAATATTTGCAGCTCATGGTTAAACTGTGAGTTCCTTGGTGCTCTCTGAGGCTTGGTGGCTTTCTCGCAGACATTTCATTACCTAGTTAGGTAACATCATCAGAACTAGTAGGGAGTGAGGTTTGCTTTCATTTTATATTCTAGTGGCTTGCCCTCTCAGTGTCGGTGGGAGTGGTCTTGGGGGGGTTCTTTGTTTGGGCTGTTTACTGTTAGTTTGTTGGCACTTCCTTGATTGGGGTATTGTTTGCTGAAGCAACAAAACTCTAGGATGTTGTGCAAACCGAGCCATTAAGCATCACCCCAGAATCATTAACAATTGATATGAACGGGAGAGGACTGAGACATGTCAAGGTTGTGAAATGAGCAGGTATAAACTCTTTGTCTTCTGGCACAATCCCAAACAGAATTTTTCTTCCCCCATTTTGTCTTATATTGTAGTGGTGGCAACACTATCTTATCCATGGCTTATAAACACCAGCCCCTGCACGTACACATACGCTGATATGGAGTTCCACAGCACAGTTTTGCTTATTTGGTTTTTGTAAGGAGATGAAGTCCCAAAATAGCCTTCCCCAATTTGATGTCCCCACCCCCCAATACCTTGTAAATGCAACCCCCACGTTCTCAACCAGCTTGGGAGAATGAAAACATTATCTCATCCTGATAAAGCTGGAGAGACCAACTGCATAAAACGGTTTCTCTCCCTATTAGGCATCAAGCCATTCAAATGTTCTCTGTGCGAATACGCCACTCGCAGCAAAAGCAACCTCAAAGCTCACATGAACCGGCACAGCACTGAGAAGACACACCTGTGCGACAGGTGCGGGAAGAAGTTCAAGTCAAAAGGCACCTTGAAAAGCCATAAGCTCCTTCACACTGCTGACGGTGAGTAGCTCTGGGTAAGGTTTGGAAACATTGTTCCAGATGGCAAATGAAGGGGTAATTGAAGGATGCGAGTGAAACGAGACCATCCAGGCCTTAATAATAATAATAAAGTTGGAAAGGACCTTGGAGGTCATCTAGTCCAACCCCCTGCTCAGGGAGGAAACCCTATACCATTTCGGACAAATGGCTGTCCAGTCTCTTCTTAAAAACTTCCAGTGTTGGAGCATTCACCGCTTCTGGAGGCAGGTTGTTCCACTGGTTAATTGTTCTAACTGTCAAGAAGTTTCTCCTTAGTTCTAGGTTGCTTCTCTCCTTGATTAGTTTCCATCTGTTGCTTCTTGTCCTGTCTTCAGGTGCTTTGGAACACTGCTATCATGTCCCCCCTTCTCTTCACCACGATGTAAAAGAGATGTTGAGACTCTAGTAAGAGTACAGAGAAGAGTAATAAAGATAATCAGGGAACTGGAGGCTAAAACTTATAAGGAACGGTTGCTAGAATTGGGTATGTCTAGTTTAACGAAGAGAAGGACAAGGGGGGACATGATAGCAGTATTCCAATATCTCAGGGGCTGCCATAAAGAAGAGGGAAGTAAGCTATTTTCCAAAGCACCTGAAGGCAGGACAAGAAGCAATGGGTGGAAACTAATCAAGGAGAGAAGCAACCTAGAACTAAGGAGAAACTTCCTGACAGTGAGAACAATTAATCAGTGGAACAACCTTCCTCCAGAAGCTGTGAATGCTCCAACACTGGAAGTTTTTAAGAAGAGACTGGACAGCCATTTGTCCGAAATGGTATAGGGTTTCCTGCCTGAGCAGGGGGTTGGACTAGATGACCTCCAAGGTCCCTTCCAACTGCACCATCATCATCATCATCATTATTATTATTATTATTAAAAAGGGAGTTATGATCCGGTTCCAAAATGCCAATGGTTCCTCCTCCATAGTCATGTGACCATATTTTGGGTGCTTAGCAACATGGCCATGTTTATAGTCATTGGCAGCATCTTGCAGTCATATGACCAGGTTGTATGATAGTTGTAGAGATTTGGAAAGGAACAATCATATAGTTTGCTTAATAATGACTGCAAAAGTCATAAAATTGGGTGCAGTCACATGGCAATTCATTTAGTGGTTGGCTCAACATAGTCACCATAATTCTAGGCTCTATTATTATTGTAAGTCAAGGACACCACTCACTTCAATATTCTGAGCCAGAAGAGTGTCCCAACATAAAACCTCACTGCTTGAATTCATTATGGCTCATGGCAACAGTGATGTTCATCAAAATCTGACTTTTTCTTTCTTCACAAGCACAGAGAATATTTAAGCATCAGATTATTTTTTTTTTTTTTTAGTATTACAGGAAAACTGTCATCTTCTGCATCAGCTGCTCCTAACTTTCTGCAGCACTTTCAAATTTAGAGACAAGTTTTCTTCACATTAGTGGAACTCTGCCTTTTGCACTTTGGGATTTTTTTTTTTTTTTCAGGTTTTTGACAGCTCTTTCTGAAAGGATTTCAAACAGCATTTCTCCATCCTGGTTCTATAGGAACAGTGGGAGTAGATCAGATCTCTGTGTGGGTTTAATATATGCTTTCTAAATACTAAACCACTAAGACTTGTTTTGAAAAAAACAAAAAGCTGAAAATGAGGAGGGAAGAGGACAAATGTACTTTGTGTATACTAGTAATGGAAGCTGCTGTACAGTCGAGGACTTTTTTGGCATAAAGGTTTAACAAATAAATATTTGCCGGAGGGAAGAATATTAAAAGTATCCATGCAGTGGAAAACCAATGACTTGTGGGCTTGTAGTTTGACCTACATTTCTCTGCTGTCCCCTGTAATGCACCTTTTGACAAATCAGAGCAATTTTTTGGGTATAAAAAGATGTATGTAAAATAATAGTTAAGCAGTTCCAGCTTTCTCCCTGTTGCTTATCACCATCTGGCTAGCTCCTCCATTCAGCAAGTCAAACCATTTCTTTGATTTCCCTCTTGTTTTTGCACGTGTCAATTTGTTTCCAGCTCAAAATGCAGGTGTGAGAAAATTCAGTTCTTATAGATGAGTGGAATCGATTAAATCAAGTTGATTTAATCGATTCCACTATTGCAAGAACTAATTTCTTTCTTGGTTTATGGGACAGGCTTTCCTCCCTGTTTTATTTACGGCCACAGTTGAGCTGAGAATTTTTCACTTATCCTTTATGTTTCTTTGGGCAACCAACTCTTTATGCTTGAGAGAAATTGCTCCTCAACAGTCAACAGTTCACTTCCGTTTATTATATTCTTTCCCCATTTGGATCCGAATTTCTCCATTTTCTGTTTCAGGAAAACAGTTCAAGTGCACAGTGTGTGATTATACTGCTGCCCAAAAGCCACAGCTTCTAAGGCACATGGAACAACACGCTTCATTCAAAGTAAGGAGCCTGCCACTGGCCTTGTTTTGTAAAATGTGATTCATTTCAGGACCGCAATTTAACAGCCTCTAAATCAGGGGGTCTTCAAACTTGGCCCTTTTATGACTTTTGGACTTCAACTCCCAGAATTCCTCAGCCAGGTGTGCCTGGCTGGAGGAATTCTGGGAGTTGAAGTCCACAAGTCATAAAAGGGCCACGTTTGAAAGACCCCTGCTATAAATCAATTCTGGAACTGTAACAGAGTGGTTTTCACTTTTAGCCAATCGGATGGAATGAAATAGGAATTTACATTCTTTCATTTTGATTCAGGGAGTCCTCAACTTACGACTGTAATGGACCTGCCCATTATGATTTATGATTGTAAAGTGGGTCACCATCTGTCCGGATCTGTTTTTAATACCTTTTTGTGGTGGTAATGGTTGTTCAGCAAACAGGATGATCATAAAGCAAACCCATTGTTCGCTCTAGGCCATTTTTACCACAAACCCGGAAGTAAACGTCAGTTTTCAGTAAAAAGTTGTCATGTGACCGCAAATGGCCGTAAATGTAGGCTGGTTGCCAAATGCTCGACTATGGAGAAGCGATTGTCAGAACTTCAGAACCAGGTTGTAAATGCCGCTGAGGGGAGGCTGTTGTATCACTGAAGAGTCGCCAAACAACTGGTCGTAAGTCGAGAACTACTTGTACAGTAGTTGTACATTATGTTCCATATTTTAAAAAGATAAAAATGGATCCAGACTATGATACAAGAGAGTCTGAAATACTCTGAGAATTCAAAATCCAAGAAATATTTTTAGTAAGTAAGAGAACATGTGGAACGGCATTAGGAAACTCACTTTTGCCAGTTGTGATCTTCTGTCTACTTCAGGGATTCTCAACCTTGGCAACTTTAAGACTTGTGGACTTCAACTCCCAGAATTCTGGCTGAGGAATTCTGGGAGTTGAAGTCCACAAGTCTTAAAGTTGCCAAGGTTGAGAACCCCTGGTCTACTTACTGAGGTATTGTCATCAGCCATCTTTACTATCTAATGGAATTAGAGTTTTTGATATTTCTTCTAAAGAATCTGTCTTCCTTGGTTGACATCCGTTCTCCAAAAGTTCACCTGAGATCTTCACATCTACCTTCTAACTGGGAATGTTAGAAACTGAGTTGCTTGTTCATTTTGCTGGGAGCAAATCTGAGGATGTCGGAGAGGGAAAGACATAGCAAAAACTACTTTTACGAAGGCAAGCGACAGTAACAAGTTTATTTAATCTGGTGTAAATAGATCAAGGAATGTCGGTCTCACAAGGTGATCTGTGACACTTTAACGTTCCTTTACAAAGCTGCACAAGATGAAATTAAACTGCATCAAAGAAATGCATACATATATGCATATTTATAGATCTATCAGAAGCATCTCTAAATCACCACTCAGAATCACAGCTATATTCCTGGTGAGATAAATAAACTATTAATAGTAGAGTGTGGAGTGGCTTCTACTATCAAAAGGATCCTTGTTTGCAGTCATCACTTAAATTTCTTAGCAAAGGAAAAGGTAAGGCCTCGGTTGCTAATTTCAGCATCTGAGGGAAACTTCATTCATAATCTATTACTTATTACTTATTTATTTTAAATGTTTATATGCTTTCCTTCAAACCCAACGTTTCCCGGGGTAGGTCACACCATGTTAATGGCACCAACTACAATTATGAAAAATTAAATAAAACATTAAAACACAATAATTAAAGTACACAACGATAAAAGATTATAGCAACAGCTGGCATAGTTAATAATTTCTAAGCAGCAAATATGTTTAATGAATTAAACATTTAATAGATTAAACATTAAGCATTAAGTGATTAAAATGCCTGCGAGAATGAAAACATCTTTACTGCCTTTCAGTATTATGGAAAGTTTATTTCTAGGTGCACCTTACTACAAAGAATACCTCAGGTCAGGGTCAGCCATTGAATAATCTTGTGGCCATTCAACAGAGCAGAATACTGTTCTCCAATATGACCATCAAGACATAAAACCATAATGGGATTTAAGCTGAGGATTACTTGTACACTAATAGGGATTTAAGCTGAGGATTACCTGTACATTAATAACCACTAATAAAAATGTTATTTTCATCCCAACCTTTCTTACATCAGTGTTCTTACCTCAATTGTTTTCAATTATGAATTCTAATATCTATCCCATTGCAATTCTATGGCTCCGTGTTAAGGTGATTTTATTATGGTTTTATTTTAATTTAATATATTATCTCCTATGTTATATTGTCCACTCTATCTATCTATCTGTCTATCTATCTATCTATCTATCACACTTTATTTAAACTAACTTTGTATATTAGTGATTGCATGACATCTGTGGATGCCATACGCTAAATAAATAAAACTGTTTTCAAAAAAATGTTTTTTTACAATCTTCCACTCTTGCTTCTTTCTGTAGCAACATTTTTTTAGTCTCCATCTAAAGGAATTAGATATTATATTTTATATAAACCATACTTCCATACTCAATTAAAGTGAAGTTCCTCTATAATGTTGGATTCTCACAACCCCTAACTCTAGGCTTGGCTGGCCTACCTTATCACTGGAGGTTTTCAAGAAGAGACTGGACAGTCACTTGTCTGAAATGATATAGGGGGTCCTGCTTGAGCAGGGGGCTGGACTAGACGACCTCTAAGGTCCCTTCCAGCTCTGTTCTTATTGATTGACCTTTTTTCATGCTTACTGTTCTTTTCCTTCCTGTCCCACTTGGTTCCACTTCTCTCTCACGTATTAAAAATTGCACAATGGTCCCCCAAATTTAATAAGATTTCATTCTCAATAGGGCAGAGATCTCCATGCTGGTCTTAAAATCAATCCTAAATCTCACTGGGGCATCTTATGACCCCCCCGTGCCACATCCAGCCCTTTAACTGTCCCTCTCCTGCCCGTGGGAGGTCAATTGGAAATTTGAAATCAAATGTAAGTAAGTGTGCTGCAGGGGGGCAGAAGAAGAAGCCAAGTTGGTTCCTTCAGTTGGCTGGTGGCTACGGGAGGGAAGAAAGCGCATTTTGGTACCTGTGAATCAGCCCTTGCTTGGAGCAACCTGAGAAGTTGAGTAGATGGAGTCTGAGGACCTGAAATCAGGTTGATGTCAACGCTGCAAATATTGTATATTCTTGCTTTTGACAATATGCAGAACTGTCTGGTATTTATGGGGTTAATATAGAGCAGAAGGGGGGTGGGGGCAAAGCCAGGGAAAGAAAGAGGAAACAAACCTTTGACCTTCACACTAATTGGATAATGTGATATATGATGGCTAATTTAGGGAGGGAACATGCTGATAATTTAACTGCTCAAAGGAAGATGCCTGTGCCGACATTTTGTAACAATCAATGACTTTTAGGAAAATAAATGCCTGGAAGTTCTTTGAAGTGTTTCATTAGCCGGAACCACAATGGTTAAATTGGTTCATTGTTGTTAATTGCGAAGTCGTGTCCGACCCATCGCGACCCCATGGACAACATTCCTCCAGGTCTTCCTGTCCTCTACCATCTTCTGGAGTCCGTTTAAGTTCACATTGGAGTCCGTTTAAGTTCAAATTGGTTCAGCCCTCCACAAAAGTCCCAGTTTCTCAGGTGGCCCCTTGGGAAAAATTAATTGCCCATCCTTGATCTAATAGAATAATAGAGTTGGAAGGGACCTTGGAGGTCTTCTAGTCCAACCCCCTGCTCAAGCAGGAGACCCTATACCATTTCAGATACGTGGTTGTCCAGTCTCTTTTTGAAAGCCTCCAGTGATGGAGCACCCACAGCCTCTGAAAGCGAGCTATTCCATTGGTTGACTGCTCTCACCGTTAGGAAATTTCCCTTAGTTCTAGGTTGCCTCTCTCCTTGGTTAGTTTCCATCCATTGTTTCTTGTCTTGCCCCTCAAATATTGGAACACTGCTATCACATCTCCCCTAGTCCTTCTCTTCATTAGACTAGACATGCCCAGTTCCTGTAACCGTTCTTCGTATGTTTTAGCCTCCAGTCCCCAAATCCAGTGATGGTGAACCTTTTAGAGACCAGTGCCCAAACTGCAACCCAAAACCCATTTATGCATCGTCGGGTGCCGGGTGGGTGTGGCCCATTGGGTGGGTGTGGTCCATTGGCTGGGCATGGCTGCGGTGGTAACGGCAGACTGGGTGGGACTAAAAAGTTCAATCAATCAGTTCCAACTTTGCGAGATCTTTTTTTTCCCTGAGAAAGTTGAAATTGACTGATTGTTGTTTTTTTTTTGCACACGGCGGCGGAGGCCTAAAGCGAAAAGTTTTTATAAAACCCAGATGAAGGCCTAGGACTGAGGCGACGGCATGCGTGCCCACAGAGAGGATTCTGAGTGCCGCCTCTGGCACCCATGCCATAGGTTTGCCACCACTGCCCTAATCATTCTTATCGCTCTTCTCTATACTCTGCATTCTTTCCAGATTGTGATACATCCAGCTCCTCAGTAGCTTTCAAAACTGTCTGGAATTGGCAAGGCACAGTTCATTCCAGAAAGCACATTAAATCAAAGTGTTTCAAAGTGGCCTTAAGTAAAAAAGGTAAAGGAGTCCCTGTGGATTTTACTCCGCTAATCATTGCCAACTATGGGGGTGGTAAAGTAAAATCCTCAGGGAGCCATCTCCATTTTAAAAGCCATTGAGCCAGCACTGTCAGAAGGCGTTTTTGTGGTCATGTGACCGGCATGATGTTACGGAGTGCTGTTATCTTCCCACTGAAGTAGTCACAATAGCAATAGCATATACCACTTCATAATGCTTTACAACCTTATGTTCTATAGCACCGGTCTCCAACTTTTCCGGCTCGGTTGACCAGCGGCGAAGGGGGAAGAGAGGGGATGGTTTCACGCTCACGCATTTGTCACTTTCACAAATGCAAGTGTGCACACGTGCCTACCACTTCCATGACCCAGTTCTGAAGGGGGCACAGCACTCCTTAAGCCAGGGGTGTCAAACTCAATTTCATTGAGGACCGCA